AACAGTACTGTATCTGTTTTGTGGTGTTGAAATTGTGTTTTGGGGGAACTAGGATGATGATTTGTGACAGCAATCTGTGTAAAAGAAAAAGCATGCACCATGACTATCTTTTGCAGGGTCTACTTTTGCAGTTTCATACACTCTGTACATCTAGAACTGCAAAAGTGTATACAACCTGTAAGGAAAGTGATCATAGGACATGCAGAGAAAGAGAGTGCAGAAAAGATTCTGAGGCAGTTCATTTCTTATGGGTGAAAGCATTTATAGTGTCTTGCAAGAACTATGAGGTCAAACTACTCAGTAATTTAGAGATACTGTAAAGAGTTAATATCCTCATCTCTTTGTTATTCCTTCTTCACGGTCTCTGTAAATGCATACAGATGGGTTTATTCTATGCGTGCACAGGACCTCTGGGAAGTTTCTAGAGATTAAAGACATGTGATTAGTAGGATGTTCCCCTGTGGCCCGCCTAAAGTCCCCTTAGTTCCTTTTAGCCGCCACTTAGGTCGGACCTATCTCAACAACTAGAGCAACTTTTGATCGTGATCGCTATTTCTTCTTTGTACAATACCTTTTCAGGCTTTTTCACTTCTTTGATGTTTCCTCATGAGTTCTTTTTCTTCAAAAACATTTTCTCCCCATGTCTTCCCTTTACGTACTTTCATTCCCCCCTTTCCCCCTCTTCCCTATCTTTCCATTCCTTTTATGGGGCCCCCTGGCCCATTTAAGTGGTGTATGTTGTGCGCGAACAAGATCCTGCTTTCAGACAGCGATGACAGCTCTCTTTTTTGCCTAGGGGAGCAGCGTCAAACCCATTCCTGCCTGGAGTGTAAAAAACTCACCAAACTGTTCATTAAGCTTTGTCTCCAATGTCTCTGCTCATTTCTCTGGGAGAAAATCCAGATTTTGGAAGAGTCGTCCAGAGAGGTTCCCGACTCATTGTCGGAGGCGGAAGATCCGCTGCCTCCTGTCTAGGCTCTGGCTTCATTGGTGAGCCTGTCGTCTAGTATTGGCCCTTCAGCGGCTTATGCCCTCTCCAGCCTGGCCTCCACCCATTCTGGCCTTGCATCATCAGGGTGGGCAGTTATGGTTCAGTTTTCCAACTCAGAGTCTTCTTCCTATCAGTCTCCTTCTCGCAAACATGTGTCAAAGAGGTGTCATCTCTCACCTGATTTCCAGGATCCTCCACATCGGGAGTTTTACTGCTACCAAGAGCCTTCTTGTTTTCACTTTCATGCAGATTACCGAGATCCTTATTATGCCGAGTATGATCGATACCGGCATTGCAGAGATGATACTGACCCGCATACTGGACGGTATTATTATGATGAACTAAAGAGAGTGTAATATGCATTCGCTTATTCGCTTGAGCCTTCTCCGTCTCCATCACCATCTCCACCCCAACATCAGGGTTATACATCCAAGCTTCAGTCTTCTCTTCCAGTTGCTTTACATGCCAAATCAGCTCTCAAACGTACTTCTTCACGTCCAACAGAGCAACCTACTTCCAAACGCTCCCGTACATCTTCGGTACCGGTTTCTGCTTCTCACTTGCACCTCTGTACCTCGTCTCTTCAGTTCACTACCACCTGCAAGTGGTAGTGACCTGAAGAGACTCCACATCGGGAGTTTTACTACCACCAAGAGCCTTCTCGTTTTCACTTTCAGCCCTTTTGCCATCCTCAGAAAAAGGGCAAACAATATCTTTGACTCTCTTCAGCCCAAGATCAGCCTACATCCTTCCTTTCAAACCCGTCTTCACCCTTTCCTCCGTTCTTGGTCTCACATCACAAACAACCATCGGGCATTGTCTATCATTCCCCACATCTATCTTCTCGAATTCAAAGAGCTTCCACCAATCGTTCATATCAAGCACACTCCATTCTCACCTGCTCTTCAAGATGAAATCCTCCTCCTTCAGAAGCAAGCCATTCTTAGAGTTCCAAACCACGATCATCACAATGGTTTTTATTCCCATTACTTTACAGTTCTAAAGGGAGATGGAGGTCTCCGTCCCATCCTCGATCTCAGACACCTCAACAGATACATCCAGTCCAGATGCTTCAGGATGGTTACACTCGATACGGTCATCCCTCTCCTTTCTCAGGGAGACTGGTTTGTTGTGGTCGAATTCCAGGACACTTTCACAGTTCCATCCATCCTCGCCACCACAGGTACTTCTGCTTCTGCTTCGAAGGCAACGGCTACCAGTTTTGTTCTCTTCTGTTCGGCCTTTCTACCTCTCCACGGACCTTCACAAAGTGCCTTGCACCAGTTGCTCCATATCTCCGACTACACGGCATAACCGTTTCCCCCCATATCGACGTCTGGCTAATCGTATCGAACTCTTACCGAGGCATCTTAAGAGACACTTGTTTCACTCTCTCCACACTAGCAGATCTCGGGCTCAGGGTCAAGTTCACCAAATCTCGACCACAGCCCTCTCAAACCATGGACTATATAGGGGCCCGCCTCAACTCATCTCGGGCCAGGGCTTTTCTACCCCAGGAGCTAATAACCAAACTAAAATATGCAATGAGGCCTTTTCGTCCTCTTGTTCCGGTCTCAGAACATTGAGCTCAGCATCTGCTCGGCCTCATGGCCTTGCCTACATCAGTTATCCAACATGCCAGGCTCAAAATGAGATCCGTTCAAGCCTGGTACCTTTCCCTATTTAACCCAAATGATTGACACCCCCCCCCTCTCCAAACAGTTGACAGTTTCCAAGGAATTAGCTCACCAACTTACCTGGTGGACCTTCCTCCCACATCTCACAGTCGGCTGTCCATTTGCTCCTCTCCAGCTCACAGTTCAGATCACCACTGATGCCAGTCCCACGGGATGGGGTGCTCATTGTCAAGACCACAGAATCCATGCCCTGTGGACAAAAAAAGAACAAACCTTACATATCAAATGTCTTGAGCTGCTTGCCATCAACAAAGCCTTCCATCCTCTCATCGTCAGGTGGGCCGTTCAGTTGGCCATTGACAATATGACTACACTATACTATGTAAACAAGCAGGGAGGTACACCCCCCCTTCTTCTGTACCTCCCAATCCACCTCTGGGAGTGGTGTTACACCCACCATGATTTTCCTGTTGTGGTCCACTTTGCCACTCACAACAACTTCGTAGTGGACTACCTCAGCTGCCTCACTACTCGAACCCACAAATGGGTCTTGGACGACACCGTTTTTGCCCAAGTCTTCCAATATTGGGACACTCCTACTCTCAGTGTTTTTTGCCACACAAGAAAATGCCAAATGCGTCCAGCTTTGTTCTAGAGCAGGAAAAGGCATGGACTCCCTAGGAGTCATGGTTGACTGGGGAACTGGTCTTCTATACATCTTTCCTCCCATTCCTCTAATTCAAAGAACATTGGTCAGGCTCCAACAGTTTGGCTCCAATGCCATCCTCATAGCCCCTTGGTGGCCTCGCCAACCTTAGTTCACCCACCCATGAATAATGTCGACAGACCTCTTTCACCTTCCTCGCCTTCCACACCTGCTTACCCAGGACAATGGCAATATCTACCACCCATACCAAGAGTCCCTCAATCTTACTGCATGGAGGATTCACCATCCATAGCAGTTGTATTGGACAAAGCTAGAAAACCTTCTACTCCTTTACGGCTATACAGTGGTGCTTCACTTAGCAATGTTAATTCGTTCCCAAAAATCCCTGCTAAGCGATTTCATCGCTAAGCGAAATGCGGTTTCCCATTGAAATGCATTGAAAACTGGATATTCCGTTCCAATAGGAACAAATTGCCATCCTCAAGCGAAAATCGCCATAGGAAACATCGCTAAGCAAACAGCGGTTCCCCAGTTGAAATGCATTGAAACCTATTCAATGTATCTCAGTGGGGGAAAAAATAAAACAACAAATTAAAAATGAGTCAGAACAAAGTCACATTTGGTTAACAAAGGGTTTATTAAGTGCACTTTATGATTTCAAACATTTTAAACAGTAAACTTTAACTTTATAAATAACAGAAAAACATTTATAAAACAGCAAACATGAGGTTGTTTAAACCATCATTAAGCGAAACGGGACCCAAAATGTAATCGCTATGCGAAGCATGGTCCCAACCATCGCTAAGCAAAAATCGCCCATAGGGACCATCGCTAAATGAAGCGCATAAACGCTCCAAAAAAGTCGTCGCTAAGCGATTTCATCGCTAAATGGAGCACCTGTTAAGCGAGGCACCACTGTAAATGGAAAACGTTCTCCACCTTTGCTTCTTCCAAGGGACTCTCGACAGCACCTGTCTCCCCTGAGACTCTCCTTACATTCCTTCTCCATCTTTTTCATCTTGGTCTATCATATTCCACCTTGAAGGTGTACATTTCAGCTACTGTAGCGCATCAACCACTGGATTCTGATGCTGCTTGGCTTTTCTCACCCTACTCTGAAGAAATCTCTCAAGGGCCTCCAAAACATTGCAGAAGTGACCCCCACTTCTGCAATGGTCTTTTCAACAGTCCTCAATGCTTTCACTCATCTTCCCTTCGAACCACTAGCCACCACCGATTTCAGACTTCTTTCCCTTAAGACTTTATTTCTCGATGCCATCACATCGGCCAGGCGAGCTAGCGAGTTAGCAGCTCTTAGAGCAGATGCACTATATCTCAAGTTTCACCCCGACAAGGTTACCCTATATCCGGATGTCTCGTTTTTACCCAAGGTCGTGTCGGAATGCCATCTCAACTCTTCTTTTTTTCCATCTCCAACATCCGATCTAGAGTGCATGCTCCATACTCTAGATGTCAAACACCTCCTAGCTTTTTATGCTGATAGAACTAAATCCCTTAGAAAAGCTCCTTGTCTGTTCATCTGCCATCATGATCCTTGCTAGGGTTCTCCAGCTTCCTCACAAACTTTATCAAGATGGATAGTTCAGGCAGTCACCTTGTTCTATGAACTAGTGGGAAAACCATCAAAAACTGTCAAAGCCCACTCTTTCAGTGCTGTCTCTACTTCTACCCCTTTCTTTGCGGTATGGATAGCTCCAACATCTCTCGAGCAATTGCCTGGTCTACTCTCTCGACATTTGTGACTCACTATCGGCTGGATGTCAGAGTGAAGAATGAAGCTAGCTTTGGCAGAGCTGTTCTTACCTCCTTTTTAATGTGACGTCCCACCAACCAGTAAGTGAGCTTGCTAGTCACCCATTCGCGTGCATTCCTAGAGACCACGAAGAAGAAAGAGAGGTTACTTACCTGTAACCATTGTTCTTTGAGTGGTCCTCTGTGAATCCATATGTCCTGCCCGTCCTCCCCTCTGTCTGTCACATTGTCATCTCTAGGTACCTTCTGACAGTGGTGGACTTTTTGGGAACTGAGGGAACTTCAAGCGGGCGGAGCATGTGCACCATGGAGGAATGTCCTACTAATCACATGTCTTTGAGCTCTAGAAGCTTCTGAGAGGTCCTGCGCAGGCGCAAAATACACCCATTCATATGGATTCACAGAGAACCACTCGAAGAACAATGGCTACAGGTAAGTAACCTCTCTTTTTAATAGGTGATCATACTCCCATTGTCCCCAGCAGCCCCTGTCTCCATGTGGGTAGGGGTTTTGATCCTAACCTCCACGCTTTCTAGTTAATCATGTCCCAAGCAGCTATGTGGCTTAGGAAAAAGTGCTATTGGCACCAGTGAAAACGTGTTTTAAAACACACTCCATTGTTCTCTGCTATAGCAAACAATACAAATGCTCTACTCTAGTTGTGACTTACAACTGGATATCATGTCAGATGTACAAGGGACTTCATGTGGAAAGGGATTTCCAGAGGTTAGGGCACTTAAATTCTGTTATTTTAGTGGCAAAGTATGTAGCAATTCTGAATTTTAATAGAATTTGGGATGTTTAAATGTATTTATTTGTTCTAATTCATTGAATATGCAAATTTTAGAGCATTGGTTCCCAAACTTAGTACTGTACTCCAGATGTCCTTAGAGTAAAACCTCACTACCTCTGCTGGCCAGGATTTCTGGTAGTTTTAGTCCAATATCATCTGGAGATCCAAGGTCGGGAACCTCTGTTTTAGAGGATGCCTGACATGCATCTTATGATTCCTATGCTGATGTAGTGGTGTCCCTGATTACAGGAAATGTTGGTCACCTCTTCTGTGCCCTGACAGAATTTGGAAAAGCATGTAAGTTCTGGGGGAAGAATCTAATGCAATCCTTCCAGCCCATCCTATCTTTTTTCTAATATGAGATTTCCTGATTTTAGCTTAGATATTTGATGCTTGATTAAATTCCCATGGCTTGAATTAAACATTTTTCTGAAAAACATAACTTATTCCTCTTCTTGGCTAAAATCTAGTAGTAAGTCACAACTAGAGTAGTCTCACTAAATTAATGTAAATTTGCTGAATAAATTCCTCCATAGGTTCCACTGATTTAGTGGGCGTACTGTACTTTTAACGTACTACTAGATTTCAGGCATTGAGTAGAAGAACAGTTCTCTATGTTTGGGAAATAGTAGAAGTGAAACACTCAACAGCTTGCTTTTCTTTTCCTCTAGAGGGATGATGGTAGTGATGGTAGCTTGAGTGATAGCCACATATCTCCTCCAGCGAAACGTACATTGAAACATGCTGATTCTGTATGTAAAGACAAATCAAAATCTCGCAATACTGGGCAGCGAGAGGAATGGAGCGTCTCAACTGGACAGTCCCGGTAAGAATATTAAAAATGTTCAACTATTTTCTCAACTAGTGTCCCAAACATTTTTCTAAACTCCCCAAAACTAATGTTAAAATGACACTGTATTTCCATCTTTTTGTAGAGAATTACATTACACAAATCATTTGCTTAAAGCAGTGTCAGTGTGACATTTTCCTCATGAATAGCATGTATCTTGAATCCTGATATGATGTCTTACACTCTTGAAAAGCCAGTGATACAAACTGGAGAAGATCAGCTATATAGATATCTGAAGGAAATAGGGGAGCTTGGCTTAAGTTGTTGCCTGTTATGGTAGCCCTTTGTTTCTTCTTAATGTTCTTCTATTCTTTGTTAATTTTAGCCAATGCTTCTGTCTTTGTGCATAAGGCACAGCCTGTTCTTTCACACACTGTCCACCCCTTTTGATTTCCAATGACAAAAGTTTTGTTTGTGGAAACAGAAAAGAGCAACTCCATCTGTTGCTTACATTAAAACATCTGGAATTCTTCATGATCTCAGTTCACATTTATGATCCACTATGAGTACTGCAACATGTTACAATAAGTCTAACTAGTTTAAAGCTTGGTATCCAAGAACTGAAACTATTTTGTGCCTATTTACTACATTTTAATTATTATTACTATTTATTAATCTCTTCTGTGAACCAGAAAACAGCTGTATGACAAGAGCCCAGTTTGACAAATATGACGCAGGCAAAGTGGGCTTAGAAGCTTAACCATCTAAATATGCCTTGTGGTTGTTTTCGGCATATGTTGCATATGTGTGGGTGTCAGGATGGGTTGTTGCTCAGCCATGGATATATCAAAACAATATTTCTGATTGTATCAGCATTGAAAAACAATGTATATAGGTGATACTGTATACAGTGGTGCCTCGCACAACGAGTGCCTCACACAACGATGAATTCACACAACGATGCCTTTTTCTGTTAAATTTGCTGCCTCACACAGCGATGTTTCCTATGGGGGATTTTCACACAACGATCTCCCTTTTTGCTCCTGTAAAAGTGTCTTACAATGTTTGGATGCTGTTTTAAATGATTGCAATGGTTAGTCCACCTCCTGAAACCTATGCAAACTGATTTTGGTGTTGTTCTGACACTTCGTTAATTTATGATGATTTTTTGAATTATCTCCATTGGAAACCATTGGATGGTCTGTCTAATGGTTTCCAATGGAAAAAACAAAAAATCATCATAAATTAACGAAGTGTCAGAACAACACCAAAATCAGTTTGCATAGGTTTCAGGAGGTGGACTAACCATTGCAATCATTTAAAACAGCGTCCAAACATTGTAAGACACTTTTACAGGAGCGAAAAAGGACTTCGCAAAGGCATTGAAATGTATTGAGTCGGCTTCAATACATTCCAATATAGGAAACATTGTTTCACTCAACGATGTTTCCTATGGGGATTTTCACTGAACGATGGCAATCCGTTCCAATTGGAACGGATTAACCGGTTTTCAATGCATTCCTATGAGAAATGGTGTTTCACAGAACGATGTTTCACACAACGTTGATTTTTTTGGAACCAATTAACATCGTTGTGTGAGGCACCACTGTATATAAAAGGCTAAAACATTCTGTGAAGTTTCTAGAATTACAGAAATGCATGCAAAAGCTGCTGACTTCTTACAATTCATGTTGAAATGGACTCATGAATCTTGTCTCAGGTAACCCTTGTACCTGATGAATCTTGCAGCTATCATATTTGGAAGCACTGTTTCAAATATTAATTCTGGGAAATCAGAAGTTTAAGGTATTTGGGCTTCTAAAAACTGAACAACTGATGTAGATTATTTATGCTGAGAAATAACTCTCTATGTTGTTCATGCTGATTGGAGCCAGCTTCTGAACATTGTTCTGTTTTGCTTTTTAAATTGCTGAGTGATTCAGCTGTAATTAAAATAAGTGGGCTGTGCCCTGCCAAACAGGGCACACATCAGAAATCTAGCCCATAGATCCAAGACTCCAATTTAAAAAGACAAATAATTAAATATGCATGCATTTCAATATACATTCTTCTCCAGGGGCATATTTATAAATACAACAGATTTTTTTTTGCTTTTTTAAGCTTTGAAAATAATAATAATAAAATCTTGATTTAATAGACCACTTTGCTTTGTGAGATCTACTCAAAATGTTACTCTGTAATTGTGGATTAGCTCCTTTATTATCTTCCCATAAAGTGTTCCTATTCACTTTCTGCACAAAATAGGATGAATACTTAAAAATGCTTTTTCTGGTAAGTTGTCTTTTTCTTGAGATAAGCTTATCAGACAGATCCACCACAGATCTTTATTACTCAATTTATTTTCTCAATTTGGATTTACCAATCTCTAAAAAAGGCAAAATATATCTCTGTAATAAGAGCTCATTTTTTCTATGTATTTTCAAAGTAGAATATTTGTTTTATTTATATTTATCCCATGAAAAAAGCAGCATTTGAAACATATATACATTAAATTTTTAAAAGATTAAATAAATTTATATTTGCATATTCTGGTAAGAAAGCTGGTCATGTTTCAGCAAGTTTCCTAGTATTCACTGTTACACATACAGCAATAATTGCAATGGTAATGAAATAGTTAGATTCTCATCTGTGCTAATTACAGGTGGTAGATTATTGTGGGAGTGGCAGTGGAATAATGAAATGGATGGAAATGCCAAAGCGCTTAGCATTGCATTGTCATTTCTATGCAGTCACAGTGCCTAGGAAGCTCATACAGCATTTTGTTCAATTGCTCTATTTATGGAATCTATAGATCACATGTCAGTATATTACGTACAGTATATTCCTCTAAGGCAAGTTAATGTTCTCCCAACATTGCATAAGGGGATCTTCCTAAGATTTATTTATTTATTTATTTATTTATTAGATTTTTATCCCGCCCCTCTAGACCATGTCTACTCGTGTATAATATACTGTATACACGATATATATCTATATATCTATATATATATATAATGTGCCTTGCAGCAGTCTTGGCTTTTTACCTAAATGGAAGCAAAGTAGTTTGTGTCCTTTACTTCCTAGTAATGCAAGAAATCACCTCCTACTGAATCAAACCACTGGTATACACAGGAATCAATGTGAATGTTGTATTTGCTGACAAGCAGTCAGTCTGTGGGGTTTCCAGAAATATATTTCTGGTTGCATTTTCTGATGCCAGGGATTAAACCTGGAATCTCTTGAGTATACCTTGCCATTGAGTTACGGCTTTCCCCTCTATTTTTCCAGGTTTCTTTTGAAAAGCTGTTACTATTTTACTTTTTATACAGAAAATAACATGTTTCTGTATAATTATGTTTAAAATAACACAAACCTGTTGAGCTGACTTGGTAAACTTTGTTTTCACAGTTGTTACTTCTGTATGTTAATACATTTAATCTAGTATTCCATGAAATATACTGGGCAAAACCTTGTTGAATAATTTGCACCTAGTATAAATATTAAACTATTTTATAGATTATTGTTATTATTATATGATATTGTAACAATGGTTGTATTTGCTTTGCAACATTTAAGTGTAATTGTAGAAGAATTCTTGCTTTAATGAAGGAAACTAATGTGTTTTGCATATTCAATTATTTTTAGGTTAGCTTCTCAATCTGGTGCTACTTTACCAAATGGGCGTAGTTTATGTAAGTATTTCAAGTTAGAATATTTTCCCTTGTTTTCCTTATGGCTCTCCATCCATATACATTTTTGAATGTAATGAGTCCCCTGAATCTTTTATGTTTTTGTGTAATGTTTATATTTTGCAGCGGCAAATAATTTAGTTGCCTATTTGGCCTACATCAAACATTACACTTGTACTATTGATGGAATTTTCTTCCTGCCTCTGATCTCTAGAATGTCCAGAAAGCTGGCTCCAGAGTGTTTCCCTGCCCTCTGGACCTGTTCTTTTAAGGGGTGCACAGAGGAGCAGTGAAAGGAACGTCTGGTTTACCAGTGAAGGTTTTGCATTGATCCTGTATTGTGTGTTATTATTTTATTTTAATTTATTTGTTTATTTATTTGTCTTATTTATAGGCCGCTATTCTCCCAATAAGGGAATTCAAGGCGGCTCACAGTATTAAAAAGAATAGAATTAAAAACACAGTAAGTTATACATTAGAAGACAATTAAATATAAAACTGGTTGGAATAAATAAGAGAATCCATAGCAGAAATATAAAATAAAAGAGAAATTAAATTGTTTTTATGTTGTAACTGTTTTTTTTATTATGAGATTGAAACAGGATTGGTACAGTGATTTTTGCTGTGTAAAAAACTAGAAAAGGGCTATAAATATATTAGGACCAAACAAATACAGTGGTGCCTCGCATAGCGTTCCGGATTAACCTTCGCTATGCGAAACCATCGCTCAACGGAACATAAAAACCCATTAAAATGTTCCGGATTAACCTTCGCTATGCGAAACCATCCCTAAACTTACCGTTGAGCGAAGCTTCTCCATAGGGGCGGCCATTTTCGGGCCCTCGCAAAGCGAGGGCGCGGCGGGAAAAGTTGCGGCGGCCATTTTGGAACCACCGATCAGCTGTTTTTCCCCGCTTCGTTGTGCGAAAACCGCTAAGCGAATCGCTTAGCGATCATCGCATAGCGAAAAAACGCCATAGGGGCCATCGCTGAGCGAACGCTCCAGCGATGGCCCGGATCCCCTCGCTATGCGAATTCATCGCTCAACGGAGTGATCGCTAAGCGAGGCACCACTGTAATTAGAAGATAATAATAATTATGGAGAGAAGTAATTGTATCTGAATTCAAGTAATTATTGTTCTGTCAAATGTCAGTTTAACATAAATAAGCCTGTGAAGAGGTCAAGTGGAGAGAAAGCAAATTCTTAGTTCTTTTCTCACATTTAAATATGCTGGTTAGAGTCCTTTCAAAAAAAATTGCACAGTGGTAATCGCCTAGACAGGTTACTCTTTTTTCTGAGTTTTGTGACTAACTGTGTGATGAATGCTAGGTCACTGCACACACATTTTTCCCTGGTAGGATTGTACACTACATGTTTCATTTTTACGCTTGTGGACCAACTAGGCTGTGGAATTTTTATTAACATCTTTTTCTACAGATTAAAATTATCTAAATCTTTCAGCTCTCAAAAGCTGTTCCCTTCGAGGGGATAAAAAGGGAGATGGGGACCATCCTTGTATAAATGGAGGCAGAGAAGTCAGAAAGAGTTGTCGATCCAGGAAAAACAGATTCGAAAGTCTGAATCAGAGTTTACTGTTTGATCAGCTAGTAAACAGGTATGTTTGAATGTGCAAGTATCAGCAATTTTAAATTGTAATAGTATTGTTAAAATTATGTTTGTCCTATATATTCGACTGTGAGAAAACATCTGGTTGACAAAATGGTTCCTATTCTTGAATATCAATTTAAAATTTACTAAATAATAACTTGTTTGGTTAAATCTGCCACATAAAGCTTTGTTGCATTGTCATTACAAATGTATATCTCAGTGCAAATCAGTAAGCTTATTAAATTCACATGTAATCACCTCAAAACCTGGATATCCTTAGTTCTTGATTCCTTTCCCAAGCATTTTAATCTGAGCCAATTTAAGAGAGATTTAGCACACTCTGGTTGTTGCACAGCTGTTCAAATTTTATTCTGTTACCTAGATATCTGTAGCATATTATTTGGACATATGCTCTGGTTTCTATCACAGTGGATTAATTTTAATGTGACCGCTAATACCCTGTTTTCCTGAAAATAAGCCCTAACCTGAAAATAAGCCCTGGTATGAATTTTTCAGGATGCTCGTAATATAAGCCCTACCCCTACAATAAGCCCCAGTTAAGTGAAACTCCGCCCTCCACCATTGTGCAACAACCAGAAGATGACATGACTGTAAAATAAAACTTCCCCTGAAAACAAACCCTAATGTGTTTTTGGAGCAAAAATTAACATAAGACCCTGTCTTGTTTTTGGGGAAACACGGAAGCATGTGAATGTTACTTTACGACTAGTCATATTTGCAAGTTGCTGCTTATTGTACCCACATAACCCTGTGCTATAAAGCAAGAATAGATGAATGTAGCCCTCCAGCCCAGAAACATCTGGAGGGCCACAGCAGCCAACTTCTGCTCTAACATATGGAAAATAATTGGTGCTTGGGATTGGGATTGGGAAGGCTACTTTTTAAATTGTTCATACTTTGCTGTTCATTTTCATTTTTTAAAAAGTAAGGTGAGATGCTCCTCCATAAGGGCATTTGCTGGTACGTGATAAGCATAGTACTAACTAGATATGCCAAGGAGAAGGCTCTCCATATACACATTCCTGGGTGGTGGTGGTATTGGGCATTATTACAGTGATTTAAAATGACAAATGAGCCTCACCGATTTTTTTGTGGGCGGATATTCTTTTCCCAGGTCTCGGGGCTTGGTGTCCCCATTTTTGGGGTTGGTGGTTTTATACTGAATTAACTCGCAATCCTGTGTCCCTGGCTTCCACTTACCAGCCAATCAAATAACTTTTCTTTGTGTTGTTGGCAGGAGACATAATGTTGTTCTTTCTTTTGCTGGCGAGAAAGGGCAATTTTCACTAAGTTTGTCCTCCGTTGTTGTCCCATTTGCATTCAAAATGTGCTCAGGAGAGTGGAGGTGGAGGGAGAAGGGTCCTCTGTTGGATCAAATGCCTTCCGATAGAAAAAGCCGTTCAGTTTGTGAAAACCAGTTAGGATATGACCAATTGCATTTTTGTGAAATGTATTATGTTGCATTTCATACCAGTGTTTATATATTCCAGTACTGCTGAAGCTGTTCTTCAGGAAATGGATAATATCAACATCAGGCGGAATAGGCGATCAGGAGAAGTGGAACGGTTGCGCATGTGGACTGATACAGAATTTGTAAGTATTAATCTTTTTGCTCCAAGAGTAACAAGAAGCAATAGACCAGGGATAGGTCTTCCATACTTTTAGGACTTGCACTCCTATAAGTTGTTAACAAGACGCCAGGCCAAATTATGGTGGTGAAAGTCTTCAAATCAGCAGGGGTAGAGCAATCCGCTCACCTCTCTGCTGTTTTTGCACTGTTTCTCTGTTGGGTTGGAAGAAAAGTGCCCCACTGCAGTATGAGAGTTGTGAGATTTCTCTGTGACTGAGAGGGCGAGTTCTCATGCAGGCTGCTTCTAGACAGCCTATATGAAGGCAGCCTCCATCAGAAAATGCCCTCCCTTGCAAATCAGAGGGAATATTCATGAGTCCCACACTGCAGAGAGGCACCTTTCTTGTCAGAGAAGCAGTGCAGGAATGATAGAGAGGGGTGAGCAGCTCTACTTCCTGCTGGTTTGAAAACTTTCACTCCCATAATTTGGCCTGCTGGATTAACAATTTAGGAGTACAAGTCCGAAAAACCTCGGGTTTTTTTCCCTTGTTTTTTTCTTTTTTCTCTTGACAAATATTGTGAGTGGAAATCCTTAAAATATAAAAGTCCCATCCATATAAAAGACCCCTATATCCAATTTTGGCTTTGGAATACATTGTTTCTGTGCCACTTTTAAAGCACAAGTTAATAAAATACCAGTCCCAGGTTTCAATTGTTGTTGTTGTTGTTTAGTCGTTTAGTCGTGTCTGACTCTTCGTGACCCCATGAACCAGAGCACGCCAGGCCTGGTTTCAATAGAGATGATCATATAGTTTTTTTCTGAATAACTGTGACAGGAGTTGAGCAACAGGAAGAGAATATGCAGTGCAGCAAGATAAGTGAAAATAAATGTCAGCATATATTGCAAAAAAAATTTCAGATAGTAGCGGTGTAGCATATGATGAAAAAAGGACATGATTTCTGGCATAACTCATTTTAGGCTGACTTATTTGTTGGACTGTGGTGTTGCAATGTTAACAAAGAACCATTCCATTGCAGATAAATGTTTCAGGGCCATTATTGTTCCTGCAGCATTTTAAGAATGTGTTGCTTAAGTAACACAAGCCCCCATTTAATAAAAGCCACTGATAGGAACTAGACAAGTATTTTCTTTATCTTATCTGTTGACTGAAATGCAGTGACAAGTGTGTGGTTAAATGAAAGCCAAATAGTGAGGCAACAAGGCTTCCCTTTTCATGAGCTGGCTGGGTTGCATCAGGTCTACACCTCCCTGCAACCAATTGGTTTCTGGGTATTTATGGCTCTTGAGTAGTGAAATCCCGGAATCTTTAGTTCATTTCTGTGACTGACAACTCTGGAACAGCAGTATCTTGCGCGTCACATTAGCACACCAGGGAACTTGAAGGTGCCAGTCAAAGTGATCTGTCATTGTGAGTTTTACAGCATAGGAAGTGTTCCCCTCCTGGGCATTTCCTTAAAAGTCAAGGCATCATTATTGTGAAATTAGACATTTTGGTTATACATATTTTATCTAGAAAAATGGAAAATGGAAATACAACAACAAAAAAATCACTTCGTCAACTTTTCCCATGTTTTCCAGTATTTCTGAAGCCACATAAGGAAAGTTGGAACATTCACTGGTCTGATCACCAAATCTTCAATGAATTGTTACATTTAGATTGCCTATGGTCTTAGCAATACCTTCTCCCCAAACACATAATCCAGTTCTACCCAACCCTCTTTAGTGTTTCATGAATTTCTCCTAATCACTTTGTAGCCTAGAAGACATGGGATGCTTATTTTGCTGTTAACAGTTGAAAAGAACTGTAATTACTGTTTGCTAATTACTGTTTGTTATCTTTGCTGTAGGAAAACATGGATATGTACTCACGAGTCAAAAGGAGGAGGAAATCATTGAGGAGAAATAGTTATGGAATTCAGAATCACCATGAAGTTTCCACGGAGGGAGAAGAAGAAGGTAATGAAGTTAGTTTAGTAGCTGTCATTGAAAATAATAAACACATCAGGCTTTGTTGTATAGTCATGAAATTATTGATACATTCAAACTTGGTTGGCTATAGCTGGTGAGCCAAAATATTCTCTGCAGCATAAATATTCAATTAATATAGTAAATGAGTTAATTGAATTTGTTAAATGGGCCTTGTCCCAATTGATATTCAGTTCTTTTCAGCATCCCCCTGGATCAGCTGGGAGAAGTCATCCAGAAGATTGCACTGAGGTGTCATCAATACATGTATGACACAGAGCTCTTCTCATAATAGCTAATCCTAGGGCGGCAAGTGTCTGGGAGCAATACTGGGAAAGCCCACAGAGCAGTGTTAGAACTCATATTTTACATGTAGATGACTGTACATGTACATGACTGCTATGCTGCCATAGGCTGCAGAAATGTTTCTCTGAAAATCTGGAGAACCCTTGCTGATTAGTGTCAGTGATAGTGGGCTAAACTGAGCAATGGTCTGACTCCATGTAATGCCATTTCTTAAGTTTTCTTTTTTTCTGTGTAAGTATAGGTGGCAATTGTTGGCAGGAGTGATTTTTTGCCAACTTTGGTGATTGGCTGTTGCAGCTGTATCTGGTAAAAGCTAATTTAGCCACAGAGATTACGTCCTTGTTAAAATTATTATTTTCATAAGTGGGATTAGTTCAGAAATTGTAGCCAGTAGCTAGAATGTTTGTGAGAACTAGATGCACTATTCTTTTGGTTACATTGATTGCCTTTTGGTTTCTGGACTCAGTTGAAAGGGCTGATTTTCTTTAAAGCTCTGGATGATTCAGGAATGTTTTTGAAAACACCTCTGTGCACATTTATTGTATTTCAGAAGGGGAAACTATTTGGCCACTAGTGTCTCTGCTTTATATTCAAAAATTGAAATTGTAATAGTACTTTCATGGGTTCTTGTTTCTAAGCTTTTAAAATATGGAGTAAGAATATTTATAGAGACAAAATTTATTCTAGTATTATTGATAAATGAATTAATCCTGAGATATTGCAAAAATACTTGGATCCACATATCCACTTTTTGAAATGTATTCATATACACATTAACAGAAATGCGTTGAAATATATTGCACCAGAAATTGTGGTGAAGTTGTGGAAATGAGTAATGTTCTTTTTCTAGAATCACAAGAGGAAGATGGAGATATTGAAGTAGAGGAGGCAGAGGGAGAAGAAAACGATCGTCCCTATAATCTGAGACAAAGAAAAACAGTAGAAAGGTATCAAGCGCCTCCTATAGGTAAGACAGAAAAAAGGGAGAACTGCCAAATTACAAATATCTGTGCTTAAGCTAAATGCATTAAAAACAAGAAAGATTCTTGTTGCATCTTAAAGACTGACAACATTTATTTGGCATGAGCTTTTCTATAGGCCTTTTTTTGAAGTACAGTTCATGGAAGCTTGTGCGAAATAAAACTTAGTAGTCTTTAAATTATATCTGTATTCTTCAGGAATTAATGGTCAGAGCAGAAGGTTGTTGATAGTTACAGTGATGATGGGATAGGGAAGTTCCTGGAGGAGACCTTCTGGGCAGCAACAGTAGTGGAGGGTGACTCTGACAGAGAAATTTTGTGAAACTATCAGTTAAACTTACTAGTACTGTGCAGAAGGCAGCAGTGACAAAACACTGTGAATACTTTATATGTTGAAAACTCTATGATGACATAATCCAACTTAGTGATGAACAGTGAGACTTCCAGATCGGAAGACACTTAACTACTGGAAAACTTCAAATGTTAAGTATGAACAGAACTGTTGCTAATGAAACAACTGTGTGAAAGCCCAAATACTGTGGTGTCTAGTTGGTTTCTTCCTTGATTTTTGACTTGGTCAAATTATCTGACAAAGTTTGGTTCTGCTTCATCTCCTTTCCTTGCGTTCCAGTCAAGTGCTGTCTGCTACGTATAATTGGAACATGGAATGTAGAGATATGTGGATTGAGGTAATAAAAAACAAGAAATAGGATTTTTAAACAGTATAATGCTTGGTGTGAGTAAACTAGCATGGACTGGAATAGGCCATTTCAGACAAGTAATTGCAAGATATTTTATTCTAAAAAGCTTTTCAAAATAGCCATTCTGGTGGTATGTGTTGTAAACACAGATCCTGGAATTAAAATCATGGAAACTTAGGTGCAGCTTTCCAGGAGGAGAATGATCACAGACCAAGGCAGAATGTACTGATAGTTGCAGGTGACTGGAATGCAAGAGAAAGAAAGAAAGCAACCAAACAGACAATTGTTATTAGTAATTATTTTCAAAATTCTGGAAACCCAAGTTCTTCCATAATATTTCTTTCTTTTTTTTACTTCACACAGAGTAGTCATTGCGAGAGAAACACAATACAGTGGTGCCTCGCTTAGCGATTGCCTCGTTTAACGATGTATTCGCTTAGCGATGAGGTTTTTGGAGCGATTTTTAGTTCCGTTTAGCGATGTTCCCTATGGGGAAATTTTGCATACCGATGTTCGGGACCTTGCCTCACTTAGCGATGACAGTTTAGGTCCCCTGTTTCACTTAGCGATGTTCTGTTTTTGCTATTTTTAAAGTGTCTTAAAATGTTCAAAAACTGTTTTAAATGCTTGGAATAGTTAGTGCACCTTGTAAAACCTTTGCACACTTAATTTGGCTTTGTTCTGACTCTTCGTTAATTTTTGGTGAATTTTTCCCCCCATTGGAATGCATTGAACTGTGGGTTTGACAGCTGTTTGCCAGGCACACTTGTTTTGCAGAAATCAGTGGGCTTTGAGGAAATAAGCTTGAAGAGAGGAGAGAAGAGGTGGGGATGGATTGGTGGAGCATACTTTTTATTTTTTGCATAAATTATTTTTGTGTGCATTGTGTTAAAATAACTAATAGTAAGAATGTAGATTATGGTGTAAATCTGTAACAAAGCCAGCTGTCCACACAACTGTGTCTTTTACAAACTGGTTTGTTATCCAGTACCAGCTCACCAGAAGAAAAGGGAAAATGCATTGTTTGACATCCATAGATCTCCTGCAAGAAGAAGCCATATCAGGTAAATGATACTGATAGAATATGTTTTGTGACTATTTGGATTTTCATTAAAAGTTTTTTTTCCAGAAATTTGAGAAAATGCTAAGATAAGGCATGTAGGTGTTTTTTAATCTTACATGGGGCGTTGTATAGCAGTGTTATCCAGTTTTTTATATTTCATAGTTTGTTTGTTTTTTACAACTTTTTGCAGACTGACCGATTTACACACTGGGTGTCTGATAGGTTTGAAAACAGGTCTCATTCAGACATCAAGCTTAGCCCAGTAAATAATTATTTATTCACTGGGGAACAAATATTATCCCCAATTTATTATTTGCTTTTATTTATCTTGTGCCATATTGCAAGACTTCCAAGGTTTGCTAAAACCATATTTTTTTCTTGCATCTGAACTGAGAAACAGTGGTTTAGTCCCTGACTAGAAGACATAATATGAATTCCTGATCTTGTTTTTAGTCAGATGGAACTTCTGTTTGACCGCTGTGCTAGAGGAGGGATTCTTTTGAATTTAATGCCTTGTTCCTATCCTCTTAAACATTGTTTTACAGTGACATCTGTACCACAATTTACAAAGATAAATTTGCTTGTTGTATGTTCTTTATGAATACATCACAGCCATTAAGTTTTGAGTGCTTTAGTCTTATTCATTCTTACTGCTTAGTACATACTGTGCTTCACTGAAATGCTTTTATTGCTTGTACAGGAGAAAAAAGCATGCCATTCATAGCAGCGATACAACTTCTTCAGATGAAGAACGTTTTGAAAGAAGAAAATCTAAAAGCATGGCAAGAGCAAGAAATCGGTAAAAAATTTTTACTTTTGTTGTGAGGCTTGGAAAATGTTTGGTATGCTTAGTTTGAAGAGTTTTGTGAAGAAATGAAATGGCCATATTTTAATTAAAGATGCTGGGATGGAGCTGTATGATTTTGAGCAATGGGCTGACCCTGTAGATTTTCTATGTCTATGCAGACCTCCAGCTATTGAAACTGCCAACGATGACCGGGTTTGGTACTAGTTGCATGCAGATTGCTGTGTTATCATCTGCAGTTGGAGTTTTGTACATGTAAATATGGAACAAGATCCTGATTTCCTGTTTTTCGTATCATTGGTTGAAACACTTGCTCAAATGGAGGAAACCACGGCCCAATGAAGGCTGAAGGCTAGGAAAGGGCAGGCCACTGAATTTGATTTTCTGTATCCAACCTTGCACTCCCTACATCACCTTCTGTGCTGTTTCAGAGGATCCCCAAGCCATCTGAGTTACAGACATGGGTGGTGTTTATGGGTAAACTCTGAATCTAGTCTTGTGCATATATATTTATAATGTATTTCTGACTTAGGTTCTGTGGGGCATTTGTCTTTGATCACTTAAATGTAACATGTACCTGACTTCCCACACTCATTTTTTACTATGCTGATTGAACTTCTCAGAGCTGTGATGGAACAAACTGAAACTTATGAAAAAAGTGTGTTTCCTTCCTCACCCCTGCTTACTTATCCCTTCATTGAACTGCATCTTTGCTGAGCATAAATTTGAGCGTAACCTGTTTTTTGTTTTTGATCAAACAGATGTCTGCCTATGAACTTCAGAGCAGAGGATTTGGCCAGTGGAATCCTCCGTGAACGAGTGAAAGTTGGTGCAAGTTTGGCTGATGTAGATCCAATGATACTTGACAAATCGGTCAGCTCCCCAGTTTTCTTTTTATAGCTTATATCATGTCTGTGCCAAATAAATCCATCAGACCTAGTAATCTAATGTTTTTTACAAAACAACACTTAGACTTCTGATGAGTTTGAGTCAGACAATTAAATCACCACTTTGTTTGTTTGTTTGTATGTGTGTTTTATTTAAGGGGACCAAAGCTAGTGGACGCTAGAGGGTGATTCCACTGACTAGCATTTGCTTTTTAGATTTGAGGCATGTTGTTGGCACACCCAGGTAGAAATGAGGAAATAGGATAAATGATAAATTAAATTTCAAAATATTAAAGATATTTGATTACTTTTGTAGCACATAGCTTTGAATGCATTCTTTAAACTTGTGCTTATAGATGAAACTCATAATGAAAAGTTACTCTCTGTCTTTGCTTTAGGTGCGCTTTGATAGCATAGGTGGATTGAGCCATCATATTCATGCACTTAAGGAAATGGTTATATTTCCTCTTCTTTATCCTGAAATATTTGAAAAATTCAAAATTCAGCCACCAAGGTGAGTAGATTTTTTTTCTCTCCTTCATATTAATAAAATGGACTCTGATAATGGAGCAGATACATTTCTCCATTCTGCAGCCCCCTGAATGAGTCCCATATCTTTTCCAGGACAGTAAGGGGATCCTCAGCAGGCAAATATCAGGGAGTAGTAGAGAAAGAGTAAGGCAACATTCTGATTTACAAGCAAGCATTGACATGTGGAATGTTAGGTGGAATTCATTTTATACCTCCTAGAGAAGAGATTTGGCACCTGCGGTGATGGGGAGCTGGTGGGTACTGTGTATCAAATCATCAGTCCAGAGGTGAAAGTGATTTGCAGATATGGGTATCGGCGAAAAGATATCTAACTGGCAGGTTGACTGCGTTATCGAGTTGTTGCTTGGGGTGAACAACGCAGCAACCTCAGTACAACTCAGATTAAATTGACTAATACTATGCCCTCCAATTCAGAGAACTGTGCCTCCAAGGTTTCATTTACCCAGAATGGTTTTTAGAAAGGGGCATGTTTATTTCAGTACTAGTTTGGGGATTGTCGGATATTGCTTACAGAAAAGAACTTTAAAAAACCTCCGGGGGTGACTAGTCTCTGATATACACATCAGGCATTGCACTGAGTTGTGGACAACGCTGCTTGGTGACAGATTGCAGAACTGAAACCTGTTTTGCTTGCACAAGTACATCAAGTGCTTTGTGAAGTTTATGGGATATTAGGTTTTAAATGCAGTTCAAAAATAGACTAGCATTTTGGATTGTTTCTGACTTGTAAACAAAGCTACTGAATTTCTGGAGATAAATGGATTGTTGCCAGTAGATCACAACATTGTATTACTCAATTTTAAAGAGAAGTACACGATAACAGGCTGGGAGGAGGCAGAGTGAGTGTTTTATGACAGTACAGATTTGTGCAGTTATAGTAAGTTTACTACTTTTTCTCTGTCACTTCTCCTATTCTAGCACAACTGATGTTACGTAGACTTGCATAAGGGTTGGATAACTTTATTCATATTTGAGTTTTCACTCAGGATCGTTATAATCTTACATTTTTAACCCATGTCTGGAAAAACAGTTCCTACATATCTCCTTTTTATGATCATAAGCAAAAGCGGACATTTGTTTAGTGTTCTAGATGGAGAGATCACATTTGTTTAAAAAAATATGATTTGGAATAAAGATAAGAATTGTAACATTTTCCAAATTATGTCTATGTTTTGTTTTCATTTGTTTTTCATTTGTAATAGCTTGTATTTCCCTAGCCGTCTTAGAGATACTGCTGAGGTGTTTATTTACTGAGATTGCTGACATGTGGGTGACAGTGGCTTGACTGTATAAGGAAAAAAAAAAAGAAATAGTGATTGCTGTGTTTGTCCATTTGTCTTCAGGGGCTGTTTGTTTTATGGTCCTCCTGGAACAGGTAAAACCTTGGTAGCTAGAGCTCTGGCCAATGAATGCACCCAGGGGGAGAGAAAAGTTGCTTTTTTTATGAGGAAAGGAGCAGACTGTCTCAGCAAGTGGGTTGGTGAATCTGAACGGCAGCTTCGACTCCTCTTTGATCAAGTTAGTACATAATATTATATATTTAAGTTTTGGTCAAAAGGAGGTAGACATGCTTCTGATATAGAGTTTTAGTGAAGGCAAGGCACCCCTCTGTGATTTCAGAAGGTAATGTCAGAAATGGAGGTGCCATCTTTCTGAGTGAGAGGATAATGCAACCCAGGAAGAATTATCCTTCACAGTTGGAGACAATCACATTGCCATATGAGATTTGGCTAGATGTAAAATCAAGGTCTTGTGCTGCTGTCTTGTCTGCCATGCCCCTCTGCTTCCTTAGATTAAGGAAATAGTAACGCACAGGGTTGCATGCTTGGTTGCTAGTTGGACATCAAACCAGGAGAGAGAAAAAAATCACCTTTACCTGATTACAGGCGATTACTGTACAATTACCTTCACCTGTGTGATTTTCATATAAAAAGATACCAAAAATCATGTTCATATAATCTAGAGGTACTGAAGAAGAAAAGTTTGCTAGAGTATTTTAAATTCATGAGCATCAAGGTAAATGATGGAATTTGACATCAAAGTTTCAATTTTGACATATCCTATATGAATGCCTATTGACACCACTTTGGCTTGAGTCCAAAAAGTTTCAAGCCAAAGAAACTAGAGGTCTGAATTAACGGATGCTAGTGTTTCAGTGTACAAAAGCTGGACACAAAGGGGTGTTTTAAATGGTGGAAAAAATGGTTAGGATCGAAGCCTTTTTTTGTGAGACTTGGTTGTGGAGTGGGGTGGGGGAGAGAATACTTTAGCAAGCAAGCAGATTCTTAGAATGCAAGTGCAAGAAGGCTTAGTGAGGCAAGTATGGAAATACGCAATGCAGTCAGCCAGCTTCCCATGACTGAATTAATGTGTAGCCAAAATCAGGCATGCTTTGTGTAAATGAGAATTCTGGGCTGGGCTTTTTTTCATTTACATGATAGGTCCATAAAATCTTTCCTTTTTGATAAAAGGATGAATGTGACTGCTTGGGGGAAAAAAGGTGTTAGAGCAAAACAAATACAGTAACTGTAGTTCCCTTAGTGTAGATGGCTTAATTATTGCACTTTCCTCAAAGCTGATGTGTACAGAAGGAACATCTTTTGCAATACTTGTATGAATGCTTTTGAATATGAGACAATACAGATTTATGGATTCGTTCCTTAGAGCAGGGGTCGTCAACCCCTGGTCCGCGGCCCGGTGCCGGTCCATGTGCTTGCTGGAACTGGGCCACAGATACAGATCCCCACCCCCCTGCACACTTGTGCGGGGGGCGTGTCGTGCCCGTGGTTGGTGTGTCGCGCTCATGCAGGGGGCGTGTTGTGCTCGTGCGTGGCATGCCCCTTGCGAGCGTAACATGCCTACCGCGAGTGTTATATGCCGACCGTGCTCGCACGGGAGGTGCCCCCGCCCCCTGTGCATGGAGCTTGTTCCCCCCAACCAGTCCGTGGCCCCAAAAAGGTTGGGGACCACTGCCCTAGAGAATTAAAAAAACCCAACCAGTCCGTGGCCCCAAAAAGGTTGGCGACCACTGCCCTAGAGAATTAAAAAAAACCACCTGTTTCTGATTGCAGAATTTATGATACTCTTGCTGTTACCATTTAGGAAAATGGTAATAGCAACAGTATCATTAGATCATAACACTCATTCTTCAATTAGCAGTGTTAGCAAGTAAACTTCTAACTTTATGGCTACTAGAAACCTATCAGTTTAAGTTCAGAATAGTAAAGAAAGATAATGTTTCAGACTTTAATTGATTTGTTTCTCACCAGGCATACCTGATGAGGCCATCTATTATCTTTTTTGATGAAATAGATGGCTTGGCTCCAGTCCGGTCTAGCAGACAAGACCAGATTCACAGGTAAGAGTAGTGTATTGCTTTTGAATGAACAGGATCAGATCTACAGTTGAATAAGTGGGAGTCCTTCCAAGTCTCCTACTGTAGATCCAACCCATCGTCACTTTCATGATCATAATTGTACTTAAGTGGGATTAGCCAGTATTTCTTTTATAAGGTAAAACTCACTATCGAAATATCTAGTGAGCAAATGGTCATTAAAATTCGTAAGGAAATGAATTTTCACCAATCTTCTCTCTTTATTTTATGTTGATAAAGTTTCATTTTAATCATAGCATCTTGTTTGATTATTAGTACATACTACGTGAATCACACATTTTACTTTGCCATTCCATAATCTTTGGTCATATATGTTTTTTATGATTTATAGACCCCACCTTTGTATGGATCAGTCTCATACCTAGCTGAAATAACTGGAGCTATGATGTTTGAAAACATATGCCTGATCATTTCTTTAGCACTGATTTTAAAATGAAAGCTTCCCATTACTTCTTATTTTGGAGAAATTTGACTAGTGTAACATAATCATATGATTCTTCTCAAATGTTTACATAGATGGGAGAGAAATGTACATGGTCAGTAGTGGTTTATGTCTTATATTTCTTCTCCAGACTTTTTTGTCTGTGGAATTCTTCAGGAGTTAAGTGAAATGTTTGCTTTATTCATACATGAGAGACACTGCAATTCGTGAGGATTAAAATATTGGTCTTTTGTATTAGAATGGTCCTCAGTAACACTTATTCATATGTGGCTGAAATCCAGTTGTGCAGGTCTGCAAATGGCTTAACTTTTGCATGCAAATTGCCATAAATTAAGAAATCTCGGTAGACATTATTTGTTGCATCTTGAGTTGCATGAGTTGGTGTACAACAGTGGTCTACAGAGATATTTTAACTCATGACAATTTGCCTTTAAACATTGTGCCATTTGATAGTTCATATCAAGTGCTTATGCAGTATAGAAACATTTACCTTATGTTCTGACTAGCAGAATATTCAACTGTACTTTTTGTATGACTGAAAACAATCTGGAATTTAAGTATTTATTTAAAGATAACAAAATTAAATCAATATATTCTTTTATAGCTCTATAGTGTCTACTCTTCTTGCTCTCATGGATGGACTTGACAACAGGGGAGAAATAGTTGTCATTGGTGCTACAAACAGACTTGACTCTATAGATCCAGCACTCAGGAGACCTGGTCGTTTTGACAGGGAATTTCTTTTTAGCTTGCCTGATCAGAAGGTAAGAATACAAAATGTTACATTTTGGTGGATTTTTCAGAACTATATGGAAAAAAGAACTTGCTTTGATCTGGCATTGAAATAGTCATTGTAATGGCACTGCCATCTTCTATACAATTTTGCTTGAAAATGGTAGACATCATCCCTACTGTTTGTTTCAGTTGACTTACATTTATATCTCACATTTTCTTTGATGCGCTCAACATACGTATAGTGCATACAGTTGCCCTCTGTCCCGCTTTATCCTTTCAGCAAAACTGTAAGTTAGACTGAGATTGTGTGAATGGCCCAAGACATGTAGTGATTTTCATAATGAAGTGGGGTTCCTAGTTTAATGTTATAATCACTATACTACGCTGGCTCATTTTATTCCAAATTCAGTGTGATAATTTACAGAACCCTGCAGGTCTGGCTCCATATGAAATAAAATACTGTAACCACTCAGGCAGTTGACTGCTAGTGGCAGAAAGTGGGAAGTGTTGGAGCTGAGTGTGCCATGTGGACAGCCACGTGCCCCCTAAGCTGGTCTGCTTACTTCAAGTGCAGTGAAGGATGCAGTCCTGTTGCCAATGTGGAAATAAGATTCTATGGTCAATCTAGTTGACTTTTCCATTGTGGAATAGCAGTGCATCTTGTACATTTCTTGTGTTCCAGCCCTGCAGCTCTGTGTTGGGTTGTGGTCTATGTCTTTAACAAAAATGTGGAATGTTTGGCTCCATTCCCCTCAGTTCTGTGTTAAAGAAGTATAACCCCCCTCCCCCGCTTTTTGTACTAAAATATGTAAACTAATTTTGGAGATGAGAAGAACTCGGTGTTAGGCAAGTTCCTTTTCTTACATTTGCAGAAAAACTGTATGTAGGTGAATCACACTGATAAAAATACAAGCCTCTCTCTGCTCTTGCATCCTTATTGGAAATGTTAGGTTTTGCTTGAAGCTAAATGTACCTCACCTCTTCCCAGATTAGAGACTGGGAATTTACCAGAAAGAGCCACTTTAGAAACCCAACAAATATAAATAGGCATTTTCTCTGCATCAAAATACATTGCAGTGTGAATTGAAACCTGGATTCCCAGTGTACATTTAACTGCATCATTCTGCATAAACACACGTATACTGTATTTATTCATATTCTCATTTGAGTAAATAAGACTACCATAACTGTATTTTCTTAGGTTGCTTTAATGTTATGTTTATAATATTTGTCTCAGTAGTGAACTGCTTGATAAAGATTAAATAGTGAGGCACATAACTAGTTCTGTTAAAAACGAGGGTGCTGGAGAACTTATATTTAAGCTGTAAAATTCCATATATGCCATATTGCATACAGCTGGCTCAAGCGTGATCTATCTCAACATTCCTGAAATTATATAATAAAAGATATTCTAATATTAATATTTCATCAGGATACTTGATAGATGAACAGTTTTTCCTGGCCTTTTTTTCTGTATCTACATGATTTTTAGACACAGTAAATGCAATAATTGAACTGTATGTTAGCAATGCCTTTGGTCTTCGGACAAAACACTGGCTCTATGGCTTGGAAACGGGGGTGAGCACCGCCCCCTAGAGTCGAACACGACTGGACAAAAAAAATTGTCAAGGGGAACCTTTACCTTTACCTTTACATGATTTTTAGACACAGTAAAGGCAATAATTGAACTGTATGTTAGCAATGCCTTTGGTATATTTTATTGTGATGCAGCTGTTAGCATTAAATATCTTTATTTTCTTTGCAAGGCAAGAAAGCACATTTTGCAAATTCATACCAGGGACTGGAACCCTAAATTGTCAGACCAGTTTTTAGAAGAATTAGCTGAAAAATCTGTCGGTGAGTAGTATCATATTAATGCTCTCAGTTTAGATATTTTTGTTCTTTAAAAGATTTTTTGTTCGGTTTGGAAGAAGTGCTTCATTGTTCATGTCTTAAAATTTCATACATGTGTCCAGTTCTTTGATGATACTTTAACGTTTCTTGCAAATTGATGCGTATTAAAAATTTTGTATAGAAATAACAAATTTATTCCTATGACATTTTTGCTGATTTTTCCTGTCATCACTATAAATTTGTAGTTAAAAACAAATCTTGGCATGACCCATTATTTCTTTGTAGGACTGAACGTGGAAAGCCATCCTAAATCTCATGGGATGCACTTCTTCTACAAGAAAACTACTGCCAGCCCTTTTATACAAAAAACACAGAGGAGTAACTTGTTTTTCTACATATGTGGATACTAATAAATCCCATCTTTGTTTTTTTTCACTGAAATGATTATGCGTTGAGAAGACACTTAATCCAACAATAATTAAACATCTAAGATATGATCTCAAATCTGCTAGTAACTTGGTGCAGGATAATTTGTTTTTTCTCTGGCTCTAAAGTTGGGCACTGTGGACCTCTGAAAACTGCTATGGCGCACCAGACATGAAATAGAGAATAGTAGATTGGCTGTTCACCATAAAAATATTTCTAACCCCTAGTTACTTACCAAAAAGAAAAAAGGTTAGAAAAAAATGAGTTATTAACTTAGCAAAGAACCCCTAAAAAGTAGCCACAGCATCTTTGGAAAGTTTCGCTTTCTGCTAATCTCGTGCTAGTCAAAAGTTTTTAGAAAAACGGCAAGATCGTTTGGGTCTACATCAAAGCAATAAAATTTAAAATTGAGCACAGTCCATTCAGTCAGCCACTGTACATCCGAATTATCCTCTTCATCCACAGGGACATCTATCTTCGAAGCAGCATTCCTCCACTTTTGATCTGCAAAGACCCCAACATCTTCTGGTGAGAAGAAAGCAAATATCCAGCAAATGATAAATTAAGCTTTGCCTGGTGTAAGAAAGCATGTGCCGAATCCCATTTCATGTAGATTCTTCTAGACATTCAGCTGAAGTTACTTAGTGCAAGACGGATGATATAAATACTGGTCCTTGGTTGACCGTATTTCAGTTCAGAAGAAATCTACATAAAGGTTGCAAAAAAATCTTTTATAGACATTATTAGAAAAATGTGCCCTGTATTGTGTTGCAACTGGTTCAATATGCAGGGAATAACAGCTTCAGGGCTCTTTGTCCTGATCTTTCCCTTCAGCATAGATTTATATTTCTAAATTTTGCAATTACAGTAGCTTTAAACATGGGACATGCAACTGAAGGAAGAAATCTATTCAGATAATGTCTCATTTCCCTCATTTGCAAGAGCTTTTCTCATTATTGTTGAAGTACTTGAAATGTGTTGCTTTATTACTCAGCATTTTGGAAATTAATTGGGGCATTTAAGTGTACCTGTATGCTTAGCCATTTATTTGATGAGGTTGCTGAACACCTTCAACTGATTACCTCTTCTGGGAAGCTTTAACGATAAAATCCAGTATGCCTTTGATATTGTCACCTGAGATACTTGAATCATGAAGAAGAAAATGATCACAGAATTTGTTGGCAGTCAGAGACTGGCAACCATAATTTTTGTATACTTGGATCCCATAAAACTTCATTTTGTTTTGAGAATTTGAATGTAGGGCATGTGTTCTTTAGTGTGTGGTTAGTTACTTTTTAATTTCCCTTTAGAATTTGTGTGAGGTTTATAGGGGAAATTCGTTTGCATGAAACGTTTTTGGAAACTCAGTACCTGTAGGAAGAAATTGCACACAGATATCATATGAAAATCATTTAAATAAAGAATTATCAAAATAATAGCAGAGTGGGATCAAAATGTACGATATCAGAGTGCTTTATCGATGTCAGTGATTCATGTACTCTGATCCAAGCCCTGAGAAGCCATTGCCAGAATGCAGTTTTTTACAGGGCATAGCTCTGTATGGCCTATGCAAGTGAGTTAAGCCACATATTTAAATTAAAGTGAGAAAACCTGGGCTTCTAGCCAGTTTAAAAACAAATTCTCCCTGGATTAAGAATTTCCTTTCTTACAGAAGTATTCTACAGAGACTCATCTGAAATTTTATATTTCCTGTGTAGAAACTGTCCTCGATGGTATTTAATAACAAGTTTTGAGACATTGACTTTTATATCTCTGAGTGTCTAATGTGTTATGAGTATCCTTCAGATGAGTTAGCTGTGAGCTGATATTCTAGTATTGTTGCTCACTAAGAGTTAAGATGTCATTCAAAATCTCTGCTTTGAAAATGGATTATCTGTTCTTTCATCGCTCTGGTTGGTCCACTCTATAGCTCCTGTTGGAATTGGTCATAAATTTGTATCAGTCTTCAACACAAGTGCCATCTTGATAGCATCTTTTTTTACTGACTGCATGGCTGTGTGATGTGAGCTACTATTCTAAATTTTCTCTCTCTCTTCCTTATACCTATTACATATTTTTAAAAAATCACTTCATTATTCCAGTTTTGCTGAGATGAATGAACTAAACCTTCATTTCTTCATTTCCAGTTTAATTTCATTACTATACTTTTCCTACCCATCTCTATTTTCTGAATGAAAATACTAAATTAAATCGGACACAGATCTGATTCTTGTGGACTTTCAATAATTGAATTTTATTGAAGTTTTACATGTGGTTCTTACTTCCAAGCAGCTTGAGCAACTTTTTTGAATATATTTAACCCATTCTCTCTGATTACATACAGTATTATTTATAGGTTATAGCAGTCTTCTCTATTTAAATATTATTGGGTGCTTTGTTAAAACAATGCATCTCTTGAATTTTACTTCTGTAGTAGGCCTTCACTCAGTTGAGGAGAACATGTGACTAATAGTGGCTGCTTTAGACTCTTGTGGTATCTTATTTTGCCATTTCCCCTGGGGTTTTGTATCTGTTATACACTATATTATAGCAGTTCCGGTCAGTGGAGGTACTCCAACTATGCATTTACAGAATGTAGGTAGTTTATAATTCCTCTCATAAAGCTTAGTTTTTATCCTCCGTTTTTATTCCTTTCAGATTGTTGCCAGATACAGTACTTATACTGTACAGTGGTGCCTCGCTTAACGATTGCTTCGTACAACGAAAAATTCACTTAACGATGGTTTTTTCGGAGCGATCTTGCGCTTCACTTAATGATTTTCCCTATGGGCAATTTTTGCTTAACGATTTTGGGACCATGCTTCACTTAACGATGACAGTTTTAGGTCCCCTTGTTTCGCTTAACGTTTTTTTTACAGCCCCGTTTTTGCTATTTTTAAAATATTCTAAAATGTTTAAAAATGTTTAAAATGCTTGGAATCATTAGTGCACCTAATAAAACCTTCGTTAACTGAATTTGGCTTTGTTCTGAGTCTTTTTGAATTTTTTGTGAATTTTCTCCCCCCCCCCCATTGAAATAGGCTTCAATGCATTTCAATGGGTTTCGCTTAACGTTTTTTCCTGTGGGGATTTTCGCTTAAGGATGGTAAGGATTATCCAGTTTTCAATGCATCTCTATGGGAAATGGTGTTTCGCTTAACGATGTTTTCACATAGTGATTTTTTTTTGAACCAATTAAAATCGTTAAGCGAGGCACCACTGTACTTCCCTATTGTGATTTGAATTCACCAGGATATTTTAACTTCCAATTTATGCAGTGTCTCACTGCAGGCCGCTTTTCAAAAATCAAAATGTTTAGTGCCATTATTGCTAAATGCTGGAGTAAAGTTAGATTCTGGTCATCCACCTGTATATGAGTTAAGATTTGGCATCATACAAAGCTCTAATGTATGCTTCTTCATCTTCCCCTCTAGCCTATCAGGTTCTTCCTCCCAAATTATAGTTTACCATGGGAGATGAATTGATCCAGGTACTTGGTTAGTACAGTATTAATCAACATGGTTGAGATTATGAATTAGAGATTAGCAGAATGTTTTGGCAATCTTAAATTGGAGGAGCAAATTGACATGATGGTGGTAGTGGAGATGTTACGGCCTATTTCTAGTTCTCCAGAGTGTTGTTTGGAGAATTAGAACATAAACACACGAGTAGACATGGTCTAGAGGGGCGGGGTATAAATTTAATAAATAAATATATAAATAAATAAACATGTGGAGTAGGAGCACTCAGTATTTGGCCAAAATCAAATAATTTTGGTCTCCTTCTTTTCATGTGTATTTCAGTACAGTACTAGTTTGAGGATTATTGGATACTGCTTACAGAAAAGAACTTTATAAAACCTCCGAGGGTGACTAGTCTCTGATATACATATCAGGCATTGCACTAAGTTGTGGACAACACTGCTTGGTGACAGATTGCAGAACTGAAACCTGTTTTGCTTGCAAAAGTACATCAAGTGCTTTGTGAAGTATATGGGAGATTAGGTTTTAAATGCAGTTTAAAAATAGACTAGCAGTTTGGATTGTTTCTGACTTGTAAACAAAGGTACTGAATTTCTGAAGATGAGTGGATTGTTGCCATAACATCGTATTACTCAATTTTAAAGAGAAGTACACAATAACAAGCTGGGAGGAGGCAGAATGATTTGTGCAGTTATAGACTGGTTTTCTAACATAAATCAATTTCATATGTAGGCTTACTGCTTTTTCTCTGTCACTTCTATGTTAGCACAACTGATGTTACTTAGACTTGCATAAGGGTTGGATAACTTTATTCATACTTGAGTTTTCACTCAGGATCGTTATAAACTTACATTTTAAAACCACTTCTGGAGAACCAGTTCTTACATATCTCTTATTTTCAGTACAGGTATCAGTAGTTCTTGTCTACTTTTCTTATGCTCTGTGGAAACCTGAATTCCATATTCAGTCTTAAGCAGTCTTTATATTGCTTTCCATGTTGAATAACACTTCTGCCTACAGATATCTTTTCTGTCAGTTAAGCCTTTTACTTTTTCCAAAAGCCGGTAAATGTCCATATTGTAGAAAGCATATGATTTTCATAATTTGTATAGATCAAACTCTTAGCCAGGGTGCTATGTAGGGAGCTTGGAAGGAAGCTGCTTTGCCCTCTCGTTTGCTTTCAGTCTATAGATGATCATGCTCAAGCTCCTATATTTCCAATTCGTAGATAATACAGTGATGCCTCGCTTAACGAGTGCCTCGGTTAACGACGAATCCGCATAGCGACGATTTTTTTGCGATTGCAAAAGCGATCGCATTGCAATGTTTTTAATGGTAAAAAAATCGCTTTGCTATGATCGGTAAGCTGTTTCGCTTACCGATTTTCGCATAGTGATGTTTTAAAAACAACTGATTGGCGGTTCCAAAATGGCTGCCGGAAAAAATGGCCTCCCGCTGTGTTTTCACGCCGATTCCTCACATACCGGGTAGCGAAAATGGCGGCTGTATAGAGGATTTTCACTTAAAGGTGAGTTTTAAGCCCATAGGAACGCATTAAACGGGGTTTAATGCATTCCTATGGGCTTTTTCTTTTCGCATAGCGACGAATCTGGATAGTGATGATTTTTCTGGAACAGATTATTGTCGCTATGCGAGGCACCACTGTACAGTGCAATCACAAGTCCCCTGCTGCTTTGCACTTTAAAACTGATTATGTTGTGTGAAGCTGGCCAGATAGCTGAGTGAGTTCGGTGTCTGGCTTTGGAGCCTGAGGTTGGGAGTTCGATTCCCCACTGTGCCTTCCAAGAGACGAACCATCCTGTGTATCTTTGACAAGCTGCACAGTCCCAGGAAGCCCTCAAAAGAAGGGAATGGTAAACCACTTCTTAATATTCTCTATCTAGAAATCTTTTGAAAGGATTGTCATAAGTCAGAACTGACGTGACAGTGCATGTTTATTATTTATTAATTATGTTGCATCATCTTCTTCCTTGCCCTTTGAAATGTTCCTTCACCAAAATCTAGAATGACATCAATATTCTTATACTTCTTCCTTGTCCCACTTTTCTTCCTATTGAAGGTCTCTCATCCCTAAGTCAGAGTTAGTGGCAGTTCTATTCTGTATTCTTTCTTCCCCTTTAATAAGCATACATTAGTACATAATTCAATCAGAGATTATTTTCAGTGGCTGAAATGTTGTTCTTTGCTGTAGTAAGTTACACTAGAATAGTCCTGTTTAATCAGTGTGGTTTGATGAATCAGCTCCTTCATAGGTTTCATTGATATATGCTGTCAAATCACTTCTGGCTCATGGTACTTTCAATAGGGTTTTTGAGGATGTAAGACTTCAAGGAGTGGTTTATCTCTCCAGTGAGATAAAAGTGTGAAAGGGCTGTATCTTGACCTAATGATTTCTTTAGGAGAGAAACCAAAAGACTGTTTGCAGTATTTTTATTGGTTGTTTCCAATTGGTATTTCAAAATGGACACAGACATTCAATCAATAACTGAGATAATGTAAAGCACAGGCTGTTGGTTTGGGGAGAATTCAACTGTTAGACATGGGGCTCCTTTTTACTAAGTTCTGTTCAGCCCCTGACCTCAGAAAATAATATGTTGCAAGAGTGACTAACATGTTGAATGCAAATAATATGTGATGTTCTCTGCACATTTTTGTACATAGGTGCTTTTCATGTATGGGGATGAACACAACTCGTTTGTTTGCAGCATTTATAATGTACTCTCTCTAATGTTAACTGCACAAAACTTGTACAGTATTTTCTTTCCAGTTCTTGTTATATCTAAATTAAGACCTTGTGCTGTGATCTTTGATTTCGATTGATTAGCAAAATTACTTCATGTGAACGTATTTTAAGTGTATTTTGTCAAGTTCCTGAGCAAATACAGGTTTGGTTTAAACCAACAAAGTTTGAACATCAATGGCATTTTGTTATTTTTAAAGGTTTTTTAAGACATGTTCATGCTTTTGTAGTAGTATATAAAATACATGTATACTAGGGGAACAAAATCAGCTAGTAACAGCATTGACATTTTATATGCTACTAGATAATGCTAAAATAGCTTAAAAACCCTGGATTTGTTTATGCAGATTCACAGTGGGTGATACTTGATTCTCAGAATTGGGGGTGGGAAAGTGAAAGTGATAAGAGAGACTAAATGTCTTGCAGAACGTACATGGACACAGAGACTGGCTGGATGCATTCATACGTATAATCAAAACCATGGGTTAGTATTACAAGAGGGATCAGCAGTGAACTTCAGGGTTGTAATCTTCTTCCTTTCCTCCCCTCCAGTGAAACTGTAAGAAGTTTGGAAGTTTTCACTTCTGTTTTAACTGCAGTTTGCCATGATGTCTGAACATAGGCCCATTGAGGTTAAACTTACACATTTTTTAAATAAACCACCTTCACATCAAAAATTTATGAACTTGACTTAAAATAAATCAGAGTTATGATAAATCATAGTTTAAGGTATGTGGCCTGATATAAACTGTAGTTAGCCTAATATAGAAGTAGAAGCTTCTCAATTGCTTATGGTTGTACCGGAGGATGAGAAGGAGGGAGAGTTGATTGGAGATCACCACAGTTTGTCCTTGTAACACTAGCACCATTATTTAGCTGGTATGTTTGAGAGGTTCAGCAAATACTTTTGTTGCTTGTACAATACTGCAGACAGCAAGAAGTTGTTGAGCACCTGGCAAGTCACAATGGACAGTATGGCTATTGAGATGCAGTTCACTAAGTAGGCCAGCATTTTTCTAAGAATTTGGATGCACATTGTACACCATACTGGAATGGTACTAAAAATGGATTTTAAACATGCTTTCTGCTGCAGTAGATTGGTGTGGTCATGTATTTTGAGAAGAGGAAGAACAAGATAAGGAGGGCTTGGCCCAGCTGAGTCAGTCATATTTCTTATTTCTCTCTGGCAAAATAGTCTGATAACAAATGGTATACTTTAAACGGGAACTGTTTTTATGCAGGCAACGTATATTTTTAGTGAACAAAATGAACTAGGTAGGATGTAATGTAAGGTAGTTGTTGCTTTGCTCCTTTGAAATCAGTGTGAAAAATCGACAACGAAGGGGGTGATTGCATTGGTAAATCATGTGTGAATTGCTCTGGGATTGGGACGGTGAGATCCATATTATTTTCCACTGACTATATAATGTACAAGTCAGTGCAAACCAGCCCAGAATTTTCTCCCCTTCATCTGATCCCCTCACCACCACCACTGGGGCTTCTATTCTTTTTTGCAGTGAATGCATTCGTATTGGTGTGGACAATGACTGACCTGCTGCAAAATCTTCTATGAAGTAGTATCATACAGCAACTCAGAAAATGATATGGGAAACATGCGCCTCTGGAGTGGGATTGTTCTTTATTCTTCTGAATCATAGTGTTTGGTTGATAGTTACAATTAACAGTAGAGACAGAAAGCATGCAGGATGCTAAGCCCTCATCCCTGAGGGTATTTGCTTACCACTCTGTCCAATTTTTCAGCCTACAGCAGCTGAAACTTCTCTCTTATGTTCTTGAAGGCTCAGGTATTTTTGGTAATTGAATGAAGGTTTTATTACCGAAATCCAACATACCTGAGATTAGATTATGCTTTTTGTATGCATCTAGTAGTGTGTTTCTCTTACAGGTTCTTTGACAGTGAATTTTTTTTCAAGCTCTTGATTAAAGATAGAGAGTTAACATTTGTTTCTTCAGATACCACTTGCAAGGTTGATTTATACTAAAGCTGTATATATTACTAAATGCATTGCAGATCTGACAGAATGCTGCTGGCAGCTTTCAGCTTCAGGCGTGTGCTCAACATATGCAAAACATCTTGTGTTCTTTCACGAAACCTGTATATGTTTTCTCTTTGTGCCCTAGGGTATTGTGGAGCTGACATAAAAGCACTTTGCACTGAGGCTGCCTTGATTGCCCTGCGACGGCGTTATCCTCAGATCTATGCGAGCAGTCAGAAACTACAGCTTGATGTTTCTTCAATTGTTCTCAGCGCACAAGATTTTTACCATGCAATGCAGAACATCGTGCCTGCTTCTCAGCGAGCTGTAATGTCATCTGGGCATGCCCTCTCTCCCATCATAAGGCCACTGTTGGAAAGAACCTTCAGTGATATTCTGGCAGTTTTACACAGAGTGTTTCCTCATGCCGAATTTGGTCAAGGTGACAGAAGAGAAGGTACTACTGATTTCACTCTTAATTCATTATACTTTTTCCATAATGTCAGTTCTCTTGCAAGCTAAGCCATGAGCTGTAGAACTATGCTGCTACTTTTGTTCACTTCCATGCGTCAGACAGTCTTCTGTGACATAATAATTTGAATCACACCCCTTAAAATATACTTGGTAAAACTGATAACAGTAAATTGACTTAATATTTTCTATTATCAGTTATAAGGCTCATCGTATTTTTTCAAGTATGCTGTTCTGGGAATATTCCATTTGCCAAATGTGTTATATCCACAGGAGGCTCCAGTTTAGTAGTCGCAGTGATTTTTCCTTTCCCTTCTAGCCTCTTACCTTCTAGATTTTCAGAAGTAATAGGAGGACATCAGCAGACACTACCTCCCCTTTTCTGCTTGTGGAAGTGTCCATTCCAAGAAGTTTTGTTCCATACAACTCTGGACCGAACCGAGTATATGAATACCAAGTTGAGGGACCCAGTAAAATGCTACTGACCCAAATCCTGTTGCAAAATTATATCTGTGGAAGGCAACGGTCTGAGTTGCTTCGATTTTCCAGCCTGTGCAAGGCAGACAGGTGGATGTGCATCCAGAAATCTTAAGTAGGGACTAATTAATTGCTAGTGAGAAGCTCCTGGAATTTACATTGTTGTTGTTTTTTGCAGGTGTAACTTCACAATATAATTTTGGCCTCTAAATAGTTTTTTTTAAAGCCTGCCACTGAGGGAAATGAATGCTACAAAAATTTTGTATTCTAATTTGTTGTATATTACATGGTGCTATATTTGTACCATGATACTTTTGTGGTACTGATACTACCATTGATTTTTATTGATCAGCACGATTCATCCTTGGCAAATAAATTGAAATGAAGTTACCAACAGTGGATATCAGAAATTAAGCATCTTAATTAAGAAATTAAGTTAGGGTTAGAACCAAGTTTAAATTGCTTCCTGGCAGTTTAAGTCACTGAATCACTTGAGAGATTGACTGTCTCTCAGTCTAACCTAACTCATAGATGTTCTAAAAGGATTTGCTAAAATGTATACTACAGCCGTGCTGCATTACTTTTTTCTTATTTATCTGTTCTGTAATTATCTCTCAGCTACGGTGATAGGTTAGGATAAGCTTTTGTTATTATTGTGAACCTATTAAATGGTACTCTCTGTGGCCTCCCATATGAAGTAGTGATCTTCCCCAGTACTGCTTAACTTCAGTAGTTCTTAACTAAAGAGTATAAAGTGCTCCTTGATCATTCACAAGAGTTCAGAATAGTTCTTGAGAAAGGATAATGGAGGTGCTGTCATAAAAACTTTTATTCTTTTTAACTGCAGCTGTTGAGTACTCTTGATCAGATTAAAACCTAGCATTAGCTTGTGTTAATTATTATTTATCAGTTGCATTTATATAAGGCACCATAGAAGACTGTTTCCCCAACTTTATCCCTAGAACACCTCTTATGTGGTAGGTCAATCACACAGAACATCTCTGGCTCATAGTCACCCAGGCAGTTTCTTGGTTCACATGAAAGTAGAACCAGATGTCTCAAATCCTAATCCTGCAACATAGAAACTACATTACATTTGCTTAGTTTGTTGAATGGAAAATAAATAGGCAGATTTGCTGGACATCTGGAAACCAGTAGACAAAGATGCATTAGGATCTAGAATTTTCCTACCATGAAGGGGTAACACTGAGATTCCATGAAAACTCCTTCTGGAGGAAAAGAAGTGATTTTCATCAGCTCCCCATATTCTCCTTCACAGCATTCTGAAGGAGCTCCTCGGTCATCTGGAGCTGTTTGCACAGATTCCCTTGTTCTTCCAGAAAGAACATCCCGTGTGCCCATTTTTGCTCATGGATATTCTAGATCCAGCACTGTGAGACCCGTGTTAATCAAGATTTAAAAGTAGTAAAATCTGTTTTCAAGTATAGCATTTTTAAGTGTCATGCGACACCACACCACACATTCTGTGGGCTTGCTAGAATAAATCAGTGAAATCAGGTTCTTTTGAAAGCCCATCGCTTCATGAGCTTGAAAGTGCAAGTGCCTTACAATAAGCAACATCTCATTGAAAGCCTTGCTGTAAACACAGAAGTTATTCACTGTGCCTCATCACAAAAAAAGTACTTTGATATCTTCCCTTAAAAACATGATGTTCTTTGGATTATTTCCATGATACAGCCGTGCCCCACTTAACGATTGCCCCACATTACGACGAATCTGCTTTACGACAGTGTTTTTGCGATCGCAATTGTGATTGCAAAATGATGGTCTCAATGGGGGAATTTCGCTTAGAGATGATCGGTTCCCTGCTTCGGGAACCAATTTTCGCTTTACGATGATCAAAAACAGCTGATTGTTGGGTTTTCAAAATGGCCGCCGGGTGCTTAAAATGGCTCCCCGCTGTGCTTAAGGACGGATTCCTCGCTATACAGGCACCGAAAATGGCTGCCGTATGGAGGATCTCCGCAGGACGGTGAGTTTTTAGCCTATTGAAATGCATTGAACAGTTTTCAGTGTGTTTCAATGGGCTTTTTAATTTCGCTTTATGATGTTTTCGCTTAAAAGCGATTTTCCTGGAACGGATTATTGTCGTTAAGCGAGGCACCACTGTATTTTGCAACAGGAGACCTAAGTTCACCCATATTCTAGCACCCAGTTACTTTTGTAGTGGACCTTTCCCCACTATAATTCTCTGTACTACCCCAAAAAGGGTTTTTGAAGTATTTTCAGGTCTTCTAGTGCACGTTTAGATATTTATGAGGCTTCTAGATGGGAGGTTTCACTCCACTACCTCTGCTAACAGCAGTTGGTACTGTGAGTGAGTGGCTGTAGGACACTAGGTGGAGAGTTAAGGTCACTGTATTTCAGCATCATCAAGAGGATTTAGAAAAAATGGAAAAGAGTGCTTTTAACCTTGTTTAAAATGTCAGGCTGTTTTGTGTCTTGAGCCACAGTGCTATTTTTAATTCTGCCCTCTCACTGCCATCAGTGCACAGATTATTTACTCAAGATGTACTGTTCTTACACAAATAATAAATATTTTCAAGGGAAGGAAACAGGTGTAATTTTTTTTCCTATGAGAAGGTAGTTTATTCTAACTTTACAAAAATGTGATATTCTTTAAATTGATAAGAGGAATTAATGTTATGTATTAGTAAACCTTTCATTCTGATTGAACAGATGTACCAAATCTGATTTTGGATGACAGTGAAGATGAAAATGCTTCATCAATATTTGAGACAAGTTGTCAGTCAGGATCACCAAAGAAACAGTTATCACCTGCTGTACATAAACCTTATCTTCATTTTTCAATGTAAGTAGATGGCCTGTGTCTACTCCCAGTCAATCCAGAGAATGTCCTTCCCTGCATTCTTTCCTGAAGCCCTTTGTACTGCCTTGAAGGAGGCACCTCACCTGTTCATGGAAGTTGGTCTCCATCTCTAGAGGGTGATGGGACTGGCCATCCCCAGTTTGAAAATGTTTGAATAGGACCAGTTTAGAAAAAGTAGTAAATATATGGTCAGCACACTCCAGATCTTTTTGAAAAGTCTCATCCATTCTTGTTGCAGGTCAGCATACCATCAGCCCACCTCTTACAGACCAAGATTACTACTTTCAGGTGAGAGGGATTCAGGCCAGACTTCACACCTTGCTCCAGCATTGTTACACACTCTAGAAAAGATCGCTGTGCACAGATTAGATCTGCCGGCCCTTTATTCGGTCAGTGCCAAAACACCTGAAGAATCATGTGCACAGGTTAGTCTGAATCTACATCCTGTTTTAACCTTTTGTACAGGGAATCAAACATTGAAAGTTCCCCATGTGAATGGAATAAATGCTCCTTCCCAGACATGCCATGGTAAAGGGATCCTAGGGCCACAGCTGAGTTTTCTGTGGAAATCATCATAGGCATCCTTCAGTCTCGAGAGACTATGGTAACGTGCTCTGTATCGAGGAGTGTCCTCTCCAGAGCATGAAGCCTGGGTAAAGTAATATGGAGGATAGGCTGTTATCCAGGCAACAGATCCCCCCTCTCCACGTTGCTGAAATGGTCCAATGGAAAGGCAAGAGCCAATACAACTGGTTCCAGCAAAGTTGCAAGAGTTGGCAGAACGACACGAACTGCCTTCGGGACTCCAGCTCCGGATTTTGCCTCTAGGTTAACTCCTGAAGCCTTTTCCATCGGTGGATATAGCCACAAGGCAGTGGAGGTTTGAAATCGGAGTTTTCCTTCTTGTAGATGGGCTGCCTTCCATGGCTAACGAGCCTCACCTACCCGGCCTGCTCTCTAATAGTGCAGAAGTATGATCTGACCCTTAAAACTTTCCTGCCTCCCATATGTTTGCAATTCTAATTGGCTTTCCTATTTACTGGGACACCCTCATTTAAAGCAGAAAGCCCCACCCCCTAGGCCCCACCCCCTAGGCTATGCGGTGAGGGAGACCAAAAGAAAGCCCAGCCCCCAAAAATAAAAAACCTCAGTAAAATGTCCATGCTAAACATACCTGGCCTTCAGCCTCAGCCCAGCTTCCCGGGGAAAGCAAAAGCCTTAAATTGTACTTTTACTGGTCTTTAGCTGTAAAAGAATGTTGTTACTTGTTTCATTTATGAAAATTCTAAATCCCTTTTTTGGTTCCCTTCCTTCCTTGTGGCCCACAGAGCCACTTCCCATTCTGTTCCAGGGAGTCCCTTTGGGGAAGTTCTTCAGGAATGTATAGTGCAGGAGAAAGGAAGAGTAATCTAAAGCACTGGTTCTTAACCTTGGGTTACTCAGGAGTTTTGGACTGCAACTCCCAGAAACCTTCACCACCAGCTGTGCTGACTGGGGTTTCTGGGAGTTGCAGTTTCAAAAGCATCCGAGTAACAAAGTTTAAGAACCACTGATCTAAAGCCCTCACCCTATGCCCTTTCTGTAGGGCAAGCAGAAGTCAAAGTTGTTTCACTTTTGGTTCACCAGGTTGATTTCTGTTTGAAGTGAAACATGGTGAAAATGTGGGGCATCAGAAGTGAAGGATCTTTGAGATAAGCTCTTCTAAATAAGGACTTCTCTGAGATACAAAGCACTATTTTTAAACTGTTATTGGTATGTCAGCAATAGAGTTTCTTAGGGGGTAAGGTGATTTGGGAAGAAATCGATGGGAATCTTGGCCAAAAAGGAAGTTTCTTGATTGAAGCTGATAACTGCTGATTTGAGAGTAGGTAGGTTCTTCGAAGTGCCAGGATTGCCTCTATTTAATGTAAGGCAATGCCTCCTTTAGCTCAGTACATGGCAGTGGATGAAGAGAAGCAGAAGTGATATGGAGAAAACAGTGAGCAGCAGAGTGAAGGTGTAATGAAATCTGATTTAGGTAGTTATAAATATGTTTACTAAGTGATGACTGAAATTGTGTTGTGCTGCTACACAAAAAGCGTAAATTGCCTCATGTTAAGAACTTTCCAGAGGCAATCGTCTGTTGCACAGTGAGCCATGTGACTCACTGTGCAAGACATAATGCCTACAGAGATTTCTTACCTTGAGGCAAGTTACGCCTTTTCTGTAGCGGCAAACAGGATTTTGGCTAATAAGACCTATTGGTTTAAGTGGAGCTCCAGATAAACATATTTATGTTTGTGCTGCCAGCTTGGCTGGGAAGAATCACTGTGGTCAAAAGGAGTATATCTTAAAAAAATAGGCCAAAATCTCTAATAACTTTGCAGGAACTTTTGTTTTTAATTTGTATAGCAAGACTGAACTGGCAAGAGTTATTTAAAAATGATTTAGGAAACTTATCTGAAACTTGACTGGTCTTTCTAAAGAGTGCCTTTTAAATATGCCACACAGTTTTGCTTTGTCATGGCATTATCTGTGCAAGATGTTGGTTATGTTTGGAATAGCAATTTTGTGGTGTAAAAAACCACATACATGTTAGAGAATCTTTTTGTGACGGCTGTGGGGGATTGGGAGCAAAATTTACAATGACTAAACCCGGGTTAAACACAGGCAAATTGCCAATTGTAATTATAACTCTCATAGAAACATGTTGATTTGGAAAGTCGGAAAAATATAGGATTAGGCAATGTAGAGCAGAGGTCGACAACGCCCGGTCTGCAGCCCGGTGCCAGTCCATGGTCTGAGCTGCTTTGGGCATGCTCGTGTGTGCCAGTGCCAGTGTGACCGCTGCCCCGCCCCTTCATGCACGCACCCGCACAAAGGAGTGGGCGTGTGTGTGCTTGGGTTGGTGAGCAGGTGGTCCTGCACATGCATGAAGGGGTGGAGGAGTGCTCACACTGGTGCTGGCGGCCAGCCGCGTGCTCCTCCACCACTTAGCACATGCGCCGGAGAGTGCGCGTGCATGCACTGGAGAGAGTGCATGCAAGCGCAGGTGTGTGTGCCCTGCCTTCCTCAGAGGCTCAGCCGGTCCATAGTCCCAAAAAGGTTGGGGACCGCTGATATAGAGGGTGCCTAACATAGAGATTTTGTTTGCTTAGTTTCATTTTAATTCCAGTGTCCTTCATAACTAGATCTTTCGTGAAGCAAGAAGAACAGTACCAAGCATTGTTTATATGCCTCATATTGGTGATTGGTGGGAAGCTGTCAGTGAAACTGTGAGAGCTACATTTCTAACTTTGCTGCAAGACATACCATCATTCTCGCCTATATTTCTACTTTCTACCTCTGAAACAATGTACAGTGAACTGCCTGAAGAGGTGAGTATGATGTGAACTCTTGAGAATGAACATGCATTGTTAAGAAATAATGATGCTGATCCAGGGAGCACCACTGTGCACATAAACACCCCCTTGTTCTGACTTTGAGAGAACCTCCAACCTTGCCAATCATTTTATATCTGTGAAAAAGTCATAGTCCTCTTGTGATTCAGCATGAATAGGGAACTGCGAACTAGGGGAGCAAGAAGAAACCTTCCTTACAGATTTAGAGGTGTACATCAGTGCTTTTTTGGTAAATGAAATGTGGGAGGGGGGGAGCAGAAATGAAGAACATTTTCTGTTCTAATGTTTGCATCTTCTCTCATCCCCCCCCCCCGATATTACCTCTTTGGTCAATTTGGGCTTAAGTCACAACTCCATAATTGCCAGACTGGCTGATGTTGGATCAATTTAACAACATAGTAGCATGTTTTTGTCCTTAGTGCTTCTTTTTTCCAACACTGTGCTCTGGATAGCATTTGTCAGTACACGATAGGCTGAATTGAAATGAACCTCCCAGTTAAATTTTGCCAGCTTTTTGTAAGTGAAGAAGTTCTGGGGAGGGTATCTTAGCAATTTTTTGCAGGGGCGTGTGTAATAGTTTCATCGCTTTCCGTAATTTTGGAGCCAATATTAATGAAAAAATATTCAACTCTCAATGTCTCCAGTCCTTCGACAGTGGCACCTCTGTATCTTGAAAAAGCTGAAATGCTTTCTAATAATGGTTTGTGAGGCAGAAACTTACTTTCTAATTATAGGGCAATATCCAGTCTTGTTGCTGTTGGAACAGCAAAACCTAGAGTTGGGACTAATATCCCTTTCCCATTTCAGTATCCTCAATATCCCCCAAACCAGTTCTGGGAGATGGGGAGAGCCTCTAGAACTTGTTTTTGGGGATCTTAGAGAGTTGCAAGGGGAAGGAAAAGGTGGCTTCTGTAGTGCCCAACAGGACATTGAGTTTGTGCCTTATGTGGGATATAGAGAACTGCACATCTAGTTCTTGGTCGTTCCCATGATGCAAAAACATTGGGCCCTGTGGCTCCACTGTGTCTCATAGTTGTAGAATTATTAAAAAACCAGGAGTCAGCAGCCTGTCCCCCTTTTTTGGAAGGGGAATGAATGCATTGTGGCCCGTTATTTGCCTTGATGGTGAGCATTTTTCTGTTAAGAGAGCTCTTGTCATCTGAGCAGCAAGACCCTCTCTGTGTTAGATTTTAAAGGCCCTAAAAAGTGGAAAAAGAAAAGTGGTATAGTATGAAGGCTGTTTGAAAGGGAAAAAAGTGGACATTTTTGTCATTATCAGACTTTCAGACATATCTACTTTGTCCTTTACATTATGCTTATTTGAATGAAAAATGTCTGCATGTAGACTATATTTATTTGAGTATTAGATTAAGTAGCAACCAGATGGTAGCAATCTAAGGTCCCATATGCACATTTTTCTGTGATTCCATATGCCTTTCATAGAAAAGTTCTTTAGGTGATAACAGCTCTTTCAGAAGTGTGATTCAAGAACACTTAAGATGTTGTCACTTCTATATGAATACTGTTGAAAAATGGAATGATGATCTCTAAGGCATTGCTCGGTTTTCCTCTTTGAAGAATTGTTCATCAGAATGTAACAATACCATCAAGTATTCAGTTGCTAGAAAATTCTTCCAAACCCTCACGATTTTCACTGTTTTCAAACAGGTAAAATGTATCTTTAAAATCCAGTATGAAGAGGTGTTTTATATTCAAAGACCTAGTGAAGAAGACAGGCGTAAATTTTTCCAAGAGTTGGTTCTAAATCAAGCATCAATGACTCCTCCAAGAAGAAAACAAATCGGTAAGTTAATTCTCTGTGTATCCCAGAGTACATTGTTTGTGTCTAGTTCAAAGTAAGAATAGAGACCCTGTGTGGGATTTATATTGAATGTTCAGTCACTGCTGTACATTTAAAAATGGAATTGGTATGCAGGAGGAGAGTACAAGCTTAAATTCATTCACAGCCACCAAATTTATGGTGTGAAATTCAGAGAAAACAGGGACATAAATGGCAATATTTGCAGATGATGCTGAAACGGTGTTTATATGTTGCACCGGACATCTGGCCCTAGCACACAAGACTTCCACTATTTGTACACTTGCTGAAATATTCTCACAGAATATCTCTAACTGTATGGTTGTGCAGATGAGCAACAGGATACCATTGTTGAATGTTATTTGCAAATCAGTTGGCAAGTGTACATATCAATTTGACTGCAAATGTCAACCAAAATGTTCTGCTGAATATAATGTGTGAACAGCCCTCAAACCATTTAGGAGAGTGGAACTGCAGATGGAGCCTGAAAAGCTCAGAAAGAATGTTGCTGAACTGGATGAAAGAGCAGCAAATTTGTTGTGCTGATTAGCTCAAGGAAAACATAAATTTAGTATGGTGTACCTGTGAAAAAAGCAAGTTTCAAGCTTGGGATCATTAGGGTAGGGAGAGAAAATCTCAAACATTCTGTGAGCCCCCCTTTTCTGTGGCTTTTGGCATAGGAAGGGATGAGGTCTCCCGACAATAACTCCATGGGCTCCAGCTTAGCTTCTTGGCTCAGAACGGCTTTTATTAGTGGTAAAGTGTCACTCTCCACCACCACCTTTCCCCCCACAATCTCACAGGGCTCAGTTATAGTCTCTAGTCCCTTGGGCACTGCTTGCTAACTTGGGGCTCCACTTCACTGGAGCTCCTTGGAGTCCAGGTTCTGGAAAGCAGGAGGGAGAGGGAAGCTTCACTCGTGGGCACACTCCCTTTTAGGGAAGATTTGTAGAGATGGGTGAAAGAAGCCAGGTCCTGGGACTCATCCCTTCCAGATCTGTCCCTCAGCATACCTGCTATATTTGCCTCTCCAGAGCTGTGGCCGTGTCCAGGTGGAGGTTGCCACGTTCACTTATAGGACTGGAATCTCCAGTGTCTGACTCTTGTGTGTGTGAGCAAAGAAACAGGGCAAGATGAGGCAGCTTTGCTCGTTCTCTTCCCTGGTCTCATCTTCCGTCGTGTCTTTCCAGGTGGCTTTTTCTTCTGAACTGAGCAACCACCCCATGCCTTCCTGCTCCTGCCCTTTATCCTTCCTCCTGAAGCAGCTGCCTGTCCTTCATTTGTGTAGTCTCCCTCCTGCTGGTTTGTGACTGGGGACACCTGTGCTCATCCTGGCTGCCCAATACTTGTGTGCTAGGGCCAGATGACTCACTAGGGGTGTGCACCTGCTCCATCCCCCCCCCATTTCCATATCACACTATCCTTACTTATTTTTCAACCATGTCAGTTTTTCAGAGAAAGCCTCCCCAAAGCGATAGGCATGATGCACAAAATACAGTTGAATATATTCGCGAAGGCTTTCACGGCCAGGATCTAATGGTTGTTGTGGGTTTTTCGGGCTTTTTGGCTGTGTTCTGAATGTTGTTCTTCCTGATGTTTCGCCAGCCTCTGTGGCCGGCATCTTCAAAGGACACCAGAGTACAGGTTGCTGTCCTCTGAAGATGCCGGCTACAGAGACTGGCGAACCGTCAGGAAGAACAACCTTCAGAACACAGCCAAAGAGCCCAAAAAAGCCAGAACAACAAACTTACAGTTGAAATCACCCCACCTGAAAAGTGGTATTGGAGAGTTGGTAAAGATATACTTACGTGCATGCAAACATAAATGTGTAAGAGAAGTGTGGCTAAGGGAAGGCATATTATTTTGCCCGATCTTATGTCTTTACATTTATCCTTTAATCTATGGATAGTTGCACTCAAACAGACTTAAAATGCACACAATTTGCAAATATAACAAGTATGGCAAAAAAATATTATCATCTGGAAATTGGGTTTGGAATAAAATAGAAAATCTTATGGCAACTCCTAGACTTGAATCTTGAGATTCTTCCCCAACATATGTCTTCTCAGCTCCTGTTTCATTAAAGGAAGGACATCTGGTGTGGTTTATAAAACAAAGGAGTGCAAATTCTTAGTGTTATTGTGTCTGGCAAAATAAAAAGTACAAAAATTCATTGTGTGGTGTGAAATATTTGGGGGAGGGGGATGTGGTCCAAATAGGTCATTTTACCTTATGTTTCTGTTCTTTTTTAGCTCTTTCTGATATGGAGGTGCTTCCTCTTGCCTTGCCGTCTCCTACCCGGCAGCTATCAGAGACAGAAAAACAGCGAATGGAGGACCAGGAAGAAAACACGCTGAGAGAGCTGCGGTTGTTCCTCAGGGATGTTACCAAGAGGCTGGCCACAGACAAGCGCTTTAACATCTTCAGCAAACCGGTGGATATTGAAGAGGTCTTGTTTCAGTAATGTGCAAACAATGAAGTTGACCTTATTAGCAATTAATCAAAAATACATAGATTAATTGTCACAGATGATACATATGATCTAACCTGTTTTGCATATTTGCAGGGATAGTGGCTTAATGTTAATATACAAAGCCACAGCTAACTTGCTCAGTAGTGCTAATACAGTAATGAACTTCGTATAGTCCAAGATGCATTTTCTGTTCCATTATGATAACTCTATTTGCTCACAGCAAGTAGATGCCTGGAGAAACAGCACTGAGCCATTGGGAGTGCAGAAAGAAATTGATTAAATTGTAATTTTTATTCCAGAAAATTCAACAAATTAAGCATTCCATCTCTCACTTTACCAGTTACTAGTCTTAAGAAAATGAAGAATTTAAGGCTCTGCCTCTACTGTTTGATCTCTCTGACTACTGTACTTATGTAGTCGTCTATAAAAATTTAAACAGAGAGGATTGAATTTGGCTAATGAAGTTTGATACACTGTTAAATTTGCCAAATTTGCCTAAAAATAACATTTTGTTCTAATGTCTGGTATGTAATTAAGCATAGAATGACAAAAATGCTTTTATTCTTATCTATATACTAGAAACAAAAAATTGTTTATGTTTACTAGGATGTTTGTGATACCTTTTCTTTGGTCAACTTCAGAACTCAATTTTGCACAGATGACTTACTCAAGAAACAGCAAGTTGTCGTGTTGTGCTCGGAAAAAATGTTATTTGTATCATGCTAGGGTTTGGGAGGGGGGTTGATTGTTCAAGGGACAGCTTGTGTACTCTCTCTTTTATGGTAAATGTGCAAATACTAAGTACTAAGAAATCGTTATATATCTGCTATACTTTACAAATATACAGCTGGGCCACTGGTTAATTTCTGAGTCGTGCTGAAGTCATAATCACAACTGAAATTGTCCTTTGTAACTTCAAAACCCAGTCTACAATTCATGAGCAGTGGATATTTGTGGGATCAGAAGTAGTCTCTAATACTGTCTGAAATATTGCAAGAAGAAAAGGAGTGTCAGTACTGTAACAGCTGTAAAATGTACAAGAAGCTGATCCAGGGAAAGCTAAGAGTTGTTCTGAAGAGCAGACTTTCAGGCTGAGAACAAGCTACCAGTAAACCTCATTGGATACTTTTCATTGACCGAGTCCACAAATGCATTAGGCAGCTCAGCAGGAGTGGTGAGCATAGCTTTTAAATGCATATACATTTATGCTGCTTGCCCTAGCCCAAGCTGACCAAAGCTTTGCATCTGACCTCATGCAGGGCTTGGGGAGGCATTCAGAAGTACTGAAGTGCTGGAAAGACATCAGACGCTTATTACAACTATAGGGACAAATTCCACCTTTTTTCCGAAAGGAGAAAATAAGGGATTCATCCCAGGCGTTGCATTGAGTTTCAGAAGCATTCCTAAACACTGGGACCTCTTGTTTGAATGGCTTCAGAACCCAGTTTGATTGAAGCCAAAGGCTTGGCTACACTCTTTCTTAGTGCAGAGATAGGTCATTGGAGACTTCTAAACATTGGTGACTGACAAAAGCTGAATTTTCTTGCAGAAGCATATAACACAGCAACATTTTTAAAAATAATGTTATATGATGTATAATAATAATGTTAATTTTATGTCATATAGTTAGGGATGTGTTTGGGGCTTAGTTGTTTACATCAGTTGGAAGGTAGAGGAAGAAATTGCTGGTTAATGAAGATTAATTAACGGTGCACTGTGACCAAGGTCACCTGGAAGATGTTGTACAGAGCATGCTTAGTAGAGTGAGGATTGGTTTATGTTCAGAAAGTATGATTTTGTCATGGTCAAATATGAGGAAGAGGAAGATGGCCAAGAAAAGAACGTGACTGTATGTTAGTGAGGAGAACTGATTGGGTGACAGGAAACTGAGAATGAATTTAGGTTGGTGATTAGAAGATTTCATGGCTGTTAGAAATGTTTGGAATACTCTCCTGAACTATGTTGGAAAAAAGCTTACTAAGTTTATGCAAGCTTCACTTAAGACTGTTGCATTTTCATTTTATCATATTTCAGGATTCAAAAGGATTTTTCTTCTTAGTCACTGTCATATAAGCCTTGGGAGGAAATTAAACAGATTAGCATAATGAACATCACATCTGAATACATTAAATCCCATTTATCAAAGATTTTTTGTCTCATATGAAAATCTGACAGAAAGTTTCATATTTCTAAAGTGGCAGACCATGTAAAAATTACTGCACTGTTTCACAAGATTAAGTGCTCTGGAATGGTCTTTCTACTGTTTGAATTTGATTTTCATTCTTAAAGTTAGGGATAAGATTTTGCCTAAAGTTTTGATTTTTCTTTGACAAAATTAATAGGACTTCATTTTGTCTGAGAGTCCAAATTTGCATCAGAAAAAAATGAGCATGCCGTATTTCCCCTTTGCTTTCAATTTACAGAGTAAGTTTAGTGTTTTAGAAACCTGTGCACATGAATTTTAATTACTGTACATAGATTCTCTTGTAGAGCTTTTGCACAGCCTTAGGCAAAATAGAGGATTCATCTGGAGCCTTTAGCTTATAAACCAGTCACCTACGTAGTTAATATTGTTGGCACTACTGGAGTTATTTTTGGAATTTATATTGGACCTTAGCTTTATGCAGACATTATATTAGATGGAGCTTTGGTTTCATTGGGGCAAACTTCTCAGCTTCTCGTGCCTGATATTTGTACAGGGATATACATTAATAAGCCTGAACCTCATACTTGATCACAGCTTTGGAGTGAACAGAGGCATGGACTGCTCTTTAGGCAAACATGAAGCCCGATTAGGAGAACATTAGGCAGGGGTGAGATTGGTGGAATCCCACTTCCCTGTTCTTGCTCCTAACATAGACTTTTAATATGAAATCTGGATATTACCTTTATTAGAGCACCAAAATTAGGCTAGTGTTCATGTCCTGTACGACTCTTAATCAGGCTGGGTATTGCAGAATACGGACAAGGATTGGGTTAGAAACAGAAACATCCAAAAATTATCCTGGCAGGATGTTGAGACTTCTTCAAGATGTGTAGGTAAAGTAATTTACCCAGTGGAAAGAACAATGGACTAAGACTCAGGACACCTGGGTTTGAATCCCCACTTGATCATGAAACTCACTGGTGGTGGTGGGTCAAACCACTTCTTAAATATCTCACTTACATTGAAAACCGTATTAGGATACCTGTTAACTCAGTTCTAGCTTGACAGCACACAGAACAAATAACAGCTAAAATATAGTCCAAAGATGGAAAGTACAACTCTGTAGTGAAGACTAAGATTCAAAACCACAAGTGCTTTTGGTATTTTAATGGTTTGATAGAGATATTACCTACCAGGACCACAAAGCTTTTTTTGTTTTCGGTGTAAAATATAACATCTATGCTGGGATCTTTTCTTCAGCTTCTTTTAATTTTGTCCGTTGCTGGAAATGCAGAAGCCTCCTTGGCAGTACTTGACAATGCACTGGAAACAGATGGTTAAGTCAAATGCTGCACTTGTGGAAGTCTGCTCATGCAGTAGTCTTTCTCCCTCTTTCCCTTTCTTTGCATCATTTTGCCACTAGAAAATCTGCTCCAGAGATTTTCCCACAAAGCAGTTTTCAGGTGCCTGTTTTGCTGTTGGAAATAGTTCTGTTAGTTGAATGACACTATTGAATTCAACCTGTTCGTGTGAATTAAGCTGTCCCACCTCGTGTTTGAAACCCCAACAAATATTTGGTCCCAAGGCTTTCTTCTTTTGACATATTAAAAATGAAAGCATGCTCAAATTTACTTACGTTTTCAAAGATGAGTTCATGAATTAGAATGTTTTTGAATTAAATGTGTCAGTTTAATTGCTGAAGATGTGTTCTGTTCAATTGCCGAATATAGGTTAAAGTTAACATAAATCTCTGTGTCACTTTAGTGTGCTGTTTTATTATAGGTCTCAGATTATCTTGAAGTTATTAAAGAGCCAATGGACCTATCTACCATAATAAGTAAAATTGATAAACACAACTATTTAACTGCAAAGGATTTCCTAATAGATGTAGATCTTATCTGCAGCAATGCATTGGAATACAATCCTGACAAAGATCCTGGAGGTAAGAAAATGTTACATCATATTGTCCATAAAATGGGAAAGCCCATGTATCTGTTATAAAGTTGTAACCCAAATATATCCATATGATGCAGCCTATAAATGTTAATTGCTTGAAATTCTGCTTTATGCTTCTTCTTCAGTGCTAGTTGCAGATGCAACAAAGCCTTCTCCAAGCAGAGGCTAGGAGTCAAAGAACCGAATTGCCGCTTAGGGTTTTTTTCTTAAAGTTAGTGAATTTCCTTCAGGTATACCGCAGCCTTTAGATCCCAAATGCATTTACTAACAGCAGTCTTGTTTTTTTTGGGACCTACTTCAACATAATCATTTACAGGATTACAACCTTAAATTAAGTTACTATAAATGGGTTGGATCGTTGAGTTTCCTTACAAGTACAACTATCCTGAATAGTATTACCTGTTTGTAAAATTAGAGGATATCCAGTCATTGATCAATTAATTGTGGGCTGCATACTCACAGTGGAGGTCACTTCAGTCTAATGGGGGAGATGAACAGGGACCAGATCTTACGTTACTCAGCCAGATGGTCTGCCTGTTTTCTATCACTACCTTCTCCTACCCTCCCAATCGCTAGCAATCTGCACTTCCTCTTGTGTAAAGAACAGCGAGCTAATGTTTGTATCGTAATACAATCAGATGTCTCTTAGTAATAAATGTTTCTTCACTCAGTTTTACTTTGTGGAACAAGACTAGAGTGTTCTATATAATTATAATATATCCTGTTTTATTCATTTAATGAAAATATATTTAAGACTACATACTGTTGCTGCAATAGTTTTATGGCTATTGTTGTTTTGACAGAAGGTACAGGTATTTTAAAAAAGAAGAGTCCCCTCCCCCAACAATTGCCTTCAGGTTATGGAAGACTGAAAAACACTTATTCTACCAGGCTCTGGCTTGCTTTCTGCTTGTGTAGCTATTACCTATTTTACAGGTGTTAATCATATAGTTTTAATTAGGAGTGATGGTCATCTTATTTTTAGATAGTTGTCTCATTGCCTTGGGAACTCCTGTGACAAAAATGATTCATGTATTTTAAAATAAAATGTATTTGATTGTTAAAATGAGGCTTGTTTTGTAGATAAAATAATTAGGCACAGAGCCTGTACTTTGAAGGATACTGCACATGCTATCATTGCTGCTGAACTGGATCCAGAGTTCAATAAAATGTGTGAAGAAATAAAAGAAGCAAGAAAAAAGAGAGGTATTCCTATACTTTAAAAAAAAAAATTCAACACAGTTCTTCTTGGAAGGCAAACCTGTATCATTGGATGGAGTGTTTCCAGCCAGTTGATGCAAGGAAGATCAATTCAGTTGCTGGATTTGTAAATATGCATTATTTAGATTGTAAGAATAGCTCCTTTAAGCCCAGTTCTATGTTTGTGGGAAATTGCAGATGTTCTTTTAAATCTTTGCTGTTGAGCTATACACTTTTCTGGAAGATTGGTGTTAGAGCGTTCACTGGCACTGCCTGAAAAAAGACATAAGCACATAGAGGCTGTGAACTATCGACCCCGCCTCCTCCCAAAACATTCCTTCTTGATGGATACAGAGCATAGAAAGCTGGGCATGCAGAGGCAAATTTTTAAAATTAACTGCATTAGATAGAATGTCATATGCTTTGTTCACAGCACTTTGTTGCTAGAGAATGAATAGTATTGTGTAGCATCTTATATATTAGTTTTAGATTACATGAGTTGGATTCCAAGTTATTAAAACTGCAGAAAATAATCATTCTTACTAGAAAATGTTTAACAAATAAAAACAAGAGGTTTTTATCGTTTTTTTCCACAAAGAAGCTGAACAGTGGCTATTTGTTCTTCACTATTAAGTTTTCTTCATTTACATTTTAATTCATGGCTTCTTCCATTTCTTCTTTCCATTCTGGAAAGAATCTGGTTATAGACATATAACAGCGTTGCATATACTGTAAGCTCCACATATGTAATCAGTGGTACCGTGAGCCAAAAGCTTCTTAGTTTTTTCAAAAGAGTTTTTGCAAAAACAGCTAGAGTGATTTCCCTGTAGTAAACAACCTCGGTTATTATTGTCTTAGATCACAGAGTTTCAGAATATAATGCTGTCAGATCCAGAAATCCACCAGTTGCTGGACAATGATTTCATTGCACACTTCTTTTCCATGCTGCCTCTGAAACCACTGTCCATGGATTTGGGAGACCCTGAAAAATGGACTGGGCAGAGGTGAGGAAGCCTGACAGAAATTCATTGTTTATGCAGAAGCAAATGTAAAGCATTTGTCATATTTTCACATTGGGTCAGATTTTAAAAGACCCACCAGCTGAAGTGGCTAATCAAATGACTAATTTCTTGCCTTTCTCACTCTGTCCTCTCCCCGATGGGCCCCAGACACTGCCCCTGAGAGCGTTAGGAAGCTATTCCATAATTAAAGACTTCCCCCTCCTTTTCAGCAGCCCCCGACAGCTTCCTGATCATGAAAGTGATTAGATAGGAGCCTTGAGACCTTCAGAGGGGGAATCAGAAATGCTTAACTGCCAAAAAAGAGGCCACCCAATAATGACATCATCAGCCTTAGGCAGCATAACTAGTGCAACAGGATTTTAGCTGCTGGTGGTCTAACTACCTGTTATGCGCAAGCCATGTTTAATGAGAGAATACCTCACAAAGGAGCTTTTCCTGGATAAAGACTCATTGGCATACATTAACTTAATGTGATATGCAGGTCTACTCTATTGGTAGGTACATAATTATATGAAGAGTTTTCTCTCAGTTCTGTTTCTGTCATTCAGATTTGGATTGTTATCTGCATGATGAGAATAACACCACTCTCCTATAGGATTATAGTGGTGCCTCGCATAGCGACGATAATCCGTTCTGAAAAAATCATCGCTATGTGGATTCGTCACTATGTGGGGCAAAAAAGCCCATAGGAACAAATTAAAACACGTTTAATGCGTTCCTATGGGCAAAAACCTCACAGTTCTGTGGAAATCCTCCATGCAGCCGCCATTTTCGCTGCCTGGTAAGTGAGGAAAGGGTGCAAAAACACAGTGGGCGGCCATTTTCTTCACCCAGTGGCCATTTTGGAACCACCGATCAGCTGTTCTTAAAACATCGTTATGCGATAATTGGTAAGTGAAACGCTTAGCGATCATCGCAAAGCGATGTTTTGCCATCTAAAACATCACAATGCGATCGCAAAAAACAAATTGCTGTGCGGATTCGTCATTAAACGAATCGCTCGTTATGCGGGGCACCACTGTACTGTAAGATGATGAAACATACTTATACAATATATATGCTTATATTGTGTCACATAATGGCTGAAATCCCAAACTACAACTGGAGTTGATCCATATTTGCATAGATATTGACTCACCAAATCTCCACTGATTGAATGAGCCTTCTCTAATTGCAAGTTTCTCCTAGGTTTCAGCTACAGTATATGTGAAACACTTCGAACACTAGAGCCCTGTGTAATACAGCTAATAGTATTTTCCTCTGAACATTTAAAAACTGTCAGCAGATGTTATAATCCAAGAGTATATGTCTCATGCATTCCTTTGTTGGGGAAAAAGTATATATTCTTGATGTAAATCATGATTTTTAGAGTGCATCTAAATACATTTGATTATTGTAGGATTTAACATCGTGTTTGAGAATGTTTTTTTAAAAAAGCTAGTTAACATTGCCAATATTATTTTAAATATGTACTTATCTTCTGTGTACAGGATTATTAGTAACATCAGAGCAAATAAATCTTCATGGTTCCACTGTGCAGAAGACAGAAAGCAGAGTTGAAGAGGTATTCCAGAGCCAACAAAAAAGAGCAATGACACTTTGGCACAACTCTGCAAGTAAATGTGCATGTAGGTATTTCACATAATTTTGTTTGGAGAATAAATGCAGCAGTAACCAAGATTAACATATATCTGATGCACATCCATTGAAGTTGGCAATAATACCATTATTATAGTTTTCTTATAGAATGAAGCAATTTCACTATCACCTGTACTAATTAGCATTTAAAAAGCACTCTATTTCCTTGAGATTCTAAAATATGGTGTTTATTAACTTTAACAGACGACTAAACTTTCAAAAACTGGTGAGCTTTTTAGTCCTGTAGGACACGTCATCAGGCCGGCATTGCAATGTTTAGGCCTGATGTTGAGGTCACAGTGAGAAACAGAACTGCCCCAAAATTGTCCAGGCCAGATGTTCAGCTTTTTATGCTTTTTAATTTAAAGTCTAGGCCCAAGATGGAGACTGTGAACTGCTGGAACAAGCTTGAAGTATCATATTCTTCTTCATGGTCTCTCTGAATGCACATTATAGGGTTTAATCTGTGCTTGCGCAGAGGTTTCTGGAATATTCTAGAGCTTTATGACACATTCGCCAGGTGATTGACTCAGTTCCTGTTTGCGTCGTTGAGGTTTCTTCTCTTGACGAGCTCTCCATTCGCCTTTATCTTCTACATTTAAAGAATAAACAGAGGGACATATGACCATTTCGAGTTACGCTCTGGCCTCAAAATTTTGCCCAGGGTGCCTTGACTTACAAACGTCTCGACATATGACCATTTCGAGTTATGCTCTGGCCGCAAAATTTTGCCCGACTTGCGGCTGCAGCTTCAAGTTACAATCAAAAAAAGGCAGGAAAAATAGGGTGGGAAATTCAAATTGCTAACTGTTAGTAGGCGAAGAGGCTGCTGCTTTGTAGCTCTTTCGACCCAACAGTTAGAGTGAGTGCCATTGGAGGAGCCTTCAGGCTGCCTGGTAAGGTAAGGTGCTGATTTCTGCTTTTTAAACACTGTTCTGGGTGGGTTTTGCAGCGTGGTTTTGGGCTGGGGGGTTATGATTCTGGGTCTTGGGGGGTTTGGTTTTTGGAGGTTTCCCCCCAATTTCCGATGGGTCTTGGGGAGTTTGTTTTTTGGTATTCCCCCCCATTTCCGATGGGTCTTGGGGGTTTGTTTGCTTTTTGATTCCCCCCCCCCATTTCCAATGTGACTTGCATGCTTGGCTTGCTTTCTGCTTTGCTTTCCCCCCATTTCTGATGTGTCTTGCATGCTTGGCTTGCTTTTCTTTTTCCCCCTTCAGCCAAAATAGATTTATCGCATTTCCGATCGGTCTTGCAGCGTTGTTGTGTGTTTTTTTGGTGATTTTTTTCTTTGGCCGGAACGGATTAAATTGCATTTCAATTAATTTCAATGGGAAATGGTGCTTTGACTTATGACCATTTCGAGTTTCAACCATCTTTCGGAATGGATTAAGTTCGTAAGTTGAGGCACCACTGTATATCCCTCCTCAACCGCCCCCTTCCTTTTCCTTCTCCCCCCCCCTCTTTTTCACCATATTATGACCCCTACAGAGCCATTCAAACGGTGCACATCATGCCCTAACAAGATCTCTCTCTCGGATGGACATGATTCTTGCCTTTTCTGCTTGGGAGACTACACAACCTTCCTAAGTTCGATCTACTTCACCTGATATCCCCATGACTTCTCTGACACCAAAATTAAAACCTAAGTCTAAATTGCTCTCAAAGTCAAAGTCAGCTGCATTGAAGTCTACACTGGTACCGAAGCTTCCCTCAACATCAGAGCACTCTAAACCCCCAAAATCAAAGAAGTCTGCTACCAAGGTCCAGCCTCCTAGGCAGGCACCCTCTACACATACAACTGATAAATCCACGCATTCCATCCCGCTTCACGATCACCAGACTATTTGCCTTGACTATTTCCGTGGATGACGATGACTATTTACCTCCACCATCAGGCCAACCAACTTCACCTCTCTTAGCCCAATCTCCTTCATGGGCTAACACCTCGGCTGAGGTAACTTATTACCAAGATTGGACCACTCGAGCCCTTCCGGTTGCTCTGTCTCCATGTATCAGTCAGATTCAGTGTCTGCAACCTCCATGCAAATGATCCCGAAAGACACACCATATACCGGAGACTGGTCCTTCCAATGCCAACCTTCCACAGTCTCTGATGCTAATGGGGTTGCTGGCATCACCTGATTCGTTGACTCAATACCGCAATCCTAAACGAGTCACCCTGTACGAGCCGCCAACATACTATGAGCTCCCTCCAAAGTGATACCGACATTGCTCATACTGTTACTGGTGATACTGATGTCTATATTGAATCGTGATACCGACATTGCTCATACTGTTACTGTCACCCTGATACTGGTGTCTATATTGAATTAAAGTGCCCTTGGTACACATACTACTACCATTCTGATTCCTCAGACTCACAATCCCCTCCTTGGTACCATCCACAAACACAGGAGTATGACCGGCCCTCATCTGTGGATGATCCCACACTCCCTCCTGTGGTACCGAAGCCACAAAAGTCTTCCTGTAAAAGGAAGCATACCTCTGAATATCCCAGTGCAGCCACCTGTGGTACTGAAACGCTCTCGACCATTGGCTGCGACTTTGGTACCAACTGCTGAACCTGCCACACTTTCGCATGTTCATGCCTCCTCTCTTCAGCTGACTACAATTTATACTGGTCTTTCACCCGCGCCTATAGATGTGAATCAGACCCGTCAACTCAAACACTCTAAACCTCATCATGGTACCACTCACTCTATACCATCTAAACAGGATAGCAGTAAAACAAGAGGCTACCCATGTGATACTCCACATCACATGGTCTTGGGACACATGATGTTGTCCATGTAGTCTTGGTCTCTCCATGCTGACCTCCCTCTTTAACATCATCCAATTCTGACACTTCAGACTCCCTACCACCACAGGAGTCCCCTCCTAACTTATCAACACCCGACTCTGACGTGGCTGATACCAACTCTCCATCCCCATCAGAAGATTTTTCCTCCTACTCTCAGCTGGTGTTTTGCGTAGCTAAGGCTATGGACCTCGACATACAACAACCGGTCCAGTCCGAATCAGACAAGGACATTAATGAAAACCAAACTCCTCCACAACAAGGACATTAATGAAGACCAAGCTCCTCCACTTTGTATGGGATTCATCCTTTCTCTTCTAAAATTGATAAAACAACCATGGTCCAAACCATGGTCCATACCACAAGCCTCCAGAACAGTGGAAAATTTATACAAAACAAACGGAGATAGTACAGCATTCCTCTCTAAACATTCACCCCCAAATTTGGTGATAGTAGATGCCATTCAAAACAGAGCACAAAACCGGTCTAATGCAACATCTAACAACAAGGAAGGCAGGAAGCTCGATATTATTGGCTGCAGGGTCTACTCCCTCGCTTCTTTCCCTCTCCGTGCGGCAAATTATTGGCAGCCATGGGGGCTTACCATCGATTCTTATGGAATAAAGCCCTTCTATCACTTCAATCAGTACTTGATGAATACAAATCCCGTGGCCTTGCTTTTCATCAAGAGGCTATGGCTCTAGCATGCCAAGAGCGTATCACTGCACGGCTTGTTATTGAGGCTGCATCGAAACACATGGCTACAGCTGTTGCCTTCCAAAGACATACTTTGCTTCGTTTAGCCCATATTTCCGATGGTTCCCACATGTGTTCTGAAACACTCTGTAATATAGACTCCACTCTTCCCCTCCTCGAGAATCTGGGCCTAAAAGTCAACAAAGACAGATTTACACTGTTTCCTTCACAGAAAGTGAAGTTCTAGACTTATGAAAGGCAAGGGCTTTTCTTCCCCAAGAATGCGCAAAGAAAATTTGCGTAATCCTCCAGCATTTTTACCCTCATGCAATAGTCACTGCACACTAGACACAGTGACTTCTCACACAAGCCTCCAGAACAGTGGAAAATTTATACAAAACAAACGGAGATAGTACAGCATTCCTCTCTAAACATTCACCCCCAAATTTGGTGATAGTAGATGCCATTCAAAACAGAGCACAAAACCGGTCTAATGCAACATCTAACAACAAGGAAGGCAGGAAGCTCGATATTATTGGCTGCAGGGTCTACTCCCTCGCTTCTTTCACTCTCCGTGCGGCAAATTATTGGCAGCCATGGGGGCTTACCATCGATTCTTATGGAATAAAGCCCTTCTATCACTTCAATCAGTACTTGATGAATACAAATCCCGTGGCCTTGCTTTTCATCAAGAGGCTATGGCTCTAGCATGCCAAGAGCGTATCACTGCACGGCTTGTTATTGAGGCTGCATCGAAACACATGGCTACAGCTGTTGCCTTCCAAAGACATACTTTGCTTCGTTTAGCCCATATTTCCGATGGTTCCCACATGTGTTCTGAAACACTCTGTAATATAGACTCCACTCTTCCCCTCCTCGAGAATCTGGGCCTAAAAGTCAACAAAGACAGATTTACACTGTTTCCTTCACAGAAAGTGAAGTTCTAGACTTATGAAAGGCAAGGGCTTTTCTTCCCCAAGAATGCGCAAAGAAAATTTGCGTAATCCTCCAGCATTTTTACCCTCATGCAATAGTCACTGCACACTAGACACAGTGACTTCTCAGCCTCATTGCATCTACCACATCAGTCATACAACATGCTTGCCTAAAAATGCTCTCTCTGCAGGCGTAGTACCTGTCCCTCTTCAACCCCATGTCCGACCCACCTATGAAACAACTAAGAGTTGCTCCCAAACTTGTAACCCATCTACTATGGTGCAACACAGCAGTAAATCTTTTCATGGGAAGACCCTTTGCACCCCTTCAACTCTCTGTACAGGTTACCACAGATGCAAGTACCACAGGTTAGGGAGCTCATTGCAATGGCATTCATATTCACGCCCTATGGTCTCACTCCAAAAAATGCCTTCATATCAACAACCTAGAGCTCCTAGCCATTTTCAAAGCTTTCCACAGTTTCGAACCACTCGTTATGGGTGCAACCGTACAAGTAAGTACAGACAATACCACTGCACT